ACACTAATGCAATATCTGCAGGAATTCATTTTTTTTCTTTTTGTTCAAATAAATATACATATTTACGCATGTATCATTAACTCTTATCATATTTATATCATTTCACTAAGGGTGAGTTGAAAATATCTCTGCATGTATATTTTTGTTTGTTTCATTTTCAATTGTAGAGTTTAAGTATTGGTTACTCGCCTGTATCCTTTCTGCGTATTATAGCCGTCTTAGGCCGAGAGCCTAGTGGAGCGGCGCATAAACCAATAATTAAAACAAAAACAGAAGGAAGACAGCTTGGCATTCCACGCTTACAACGCATTGACTTTTTGACGAAACCATCATTTATTGTGTTGAACTAAACGTTCACGCTCTCAATATCTTAAGCTTTCAAGTTGTGCATGGAATTGATCTTTTTTATCAAATAATTAGGTAAATCTGTCTTCAAGGATAAATATGTATAAAATTCGAATAAAATATTGAATTAGTCTCTGAATTAACAAATTAAATAGACTTAAAGCGAAACCAACCAAAATCAAATAGTTGTTCTTTCAAAAGTCCACAAATATGGCCACATTTACAATGCTCCTGCTCCAGTTAGCCACACGTTTTTCTTATATTCTGAATTCAAATACAAAAATCACAGAGGTTTATAACTCTAATGTTTTAACTATTATTTTCTTATCACTTATTCTGATTATTTTTATTTATTTTATTTTTTTATTTATATTGTTATCTTTTATGTTTTTATTTTGCAATAATGTTTTCTTTCTTATCTTTAATTTTTATTTGTTTGTTTTTGTGTTTGTGTTTGTAGTTGTTGGTAATTCGCTGCTGCAAATGTACAGCACTACGGAATTTGTTATGACGAGCATAAACTTAGTTACGCGTAACGTTTAATGGATGGCATTATTAAACTTTCCGTTTTCTCATACATAGATACACACATACCGTTCAACTATAAATGGATTTGATAACGTATTCTTAATTTTTACATGACCTTTTCGGAAGATGAAATTTATAAAACCTTTGTTTAGCAATTTGACATACATATGAGCATATTTATGCAAGTTTATACTAACCGTTTACTTAAGTACAAATGCAATGCAATTATTGGTGTTTGAGTTTGTAGTGATTTTGTCTTTGTATCGTTTCCAGGTTTCCCTAAAATTTACCATTTGTTTTTTGATTTTTTTTTTTCAATTCTAGTGGCGTACTCATGTGTGTATCCTATGTGTTGGCTCTTTTAGTTTAAATTTATAAATTTTTTATATTAAAAACACACAATTTTATGAAAAGTGCATATCATTTGATTGGAAAAACTACACATTCAAATTAGTGACTTAAAAACATAAAAATCCATGTGTAAGTACATATATGTTTACACATTCATACACTTGCGTATGTTCAGACATAGATACATAGTATATCAGCATACGATGATAGTTGTATTTTATAATGTTATGTTTTGTGTAATTACTTTGATTCAATAGCCTTTTTATTCGTTCTCACAATTACTTCAAAACAATTTTCGATATGTTTTCAGCTGATGATACAAACGGTTAATGTGTTGTTGTCAGTGATATTGCAAAGCACTTTCTGCTCGCAGCATGATTTTCCGTTACATATATGTATGTATATTACTAGGTAGGTCCGCTTCATGACATCTCTTCCCGATTAATTTCATTTATCTTTTAGCACGGAATGTCTGACATTATATATGACGCTTATGCAAAATAATATAATAAAAGTAAATTAGCTGCCGTTTTCTGTGTATCTCAACTTGCATTTGGCGCTTTCAACGATGTACCAGAGTGACATTTAAAGTACGGTATGGCACAGTAATTATTCGTTTCAGATTGATTGAAGATGTAATTTGCTATTCCATGTGATAATATGATCTGTAACAGTGGTCTCAGCATTAATGCACATTTTTATATTTTTTCGCTATGTATGGTATTGCCATTTTTCCATCTCATTTTTATTTTCTGCATAGTCCTATTAGATTTCGAAAATTTGACAATTTGTAAAAATATAGATTTTACTATTACCAAAAAAATTTTTCTAAATTTTTTTTGACAAATTCAAAAGCGTGCGTTTTTTCACCTGATTGTTGTGATATTCGAACGCAAACTCTGTGTTTTTTATGACAATGTTGGAAATCTTGGCACTCGACAATTATGATAAATGCTCAATAACATTTCATCGTTGACTCAGGTAATAAACAAAAAGCTATAAATGTGCTGCCTCAACTTGAAAAATTAAAACACAAAAATTTTTGGTTCATTGTACAATTGTAAAATTGGAAAATATTTACATATTGTACAACTTTTTATTTGTATATAATCGTTTGTTTTTTTCATTGTTGTTTTTGGATGAATCGAGATTAAAAAAAAAACAGATTTTGATTTTTGGCAATTACTATTCGTTTTTTGGGGTTCAAAAATTGGTGTTGAATTAATCGCATATATTAAATAAAAAATTACAATTTATATTATTTTTTTGAACAATTTTACACTTTTTTTTGGTTTTTTACTGCATAAAAATGTGCAATAAAATTTTTTTCTTTTTTTTCACTTCTTCATTTTCATTAAATAATTTCAGTTACAATTTTGTTGATAATGAAAGTATGTTTTGCCATTTAGCTCACATGATTTGTTTGTATTTACATATAATGTTCACTGACATTCAGATTTAAATTTTATTGTACATGTTTATTTAAAAAAAAAAAAAAAAAAATTTGTATGTTTATATTAGGGATCTGCTACATTATTATAACATTTGGATTTTTCATAAATTTTCAAAACAAAAAATCACAAAACAATAAAAAGGAAAATTTACATATTAAGCTAAATATATCAAAATTTGAAATCAATAGTAAGTAATCTGAATATTAAGATGTCTTATATTACAAACGAAATTAGCAAATTAAATATCTTTCATTTTTATATAATATGGAACAAAGATTAATCGGTCTAATTGGCCGACTGTGATTTCATGATTTAAGCGATCTAAGTCCTAAATAACTTTATCACACAAAATTGCATATTTTTATTTAACGTTTTATTCCTCAAAACGTAAAGGGTTCGTGTAAGAGAACATTTTGCATTTAAACGAAGTTGAGACGAAGCAAAGGATATACATAACAAAATATTTGAAACGAGTATGATAAATATCGCTATTTTATTTAACATTGAAAGAACAAAATGGTTAATAATTTCTACTAATTTTGAATTTAAATTGAATTTTGCTGATTTGTCATTTTAAAAAGTGCTAAATGTTTATCTCTCGCCCCAACTCAACGTTCGTTATTGTACACACGAAGTTCGAACTATTCTTCTCCGGTTACGTTTTATTTGTTGATTTGCTCTTTTGGAAGAATGTTTTTTTTTATGAAAAGTTTTTAGAATTTTTCTTTTTTTTTTTTTTGTTTTTTTTATATATATATAATTTTTAGCACATATATTAAATATGTGCATAATTAATGAACTTGAGCATTTCACATGTCAAAGCGTTCAGAAAAATCCGCAGGCGCAAAAAGAATAATGCATATTAAAATTAAAAAAAAAAAATCAAAACAAGATGATACAGAAATAATATTCGAGCATATTCTCACAATACACTCCGCCTACAACTCACTTCTTTCCCACGAAGCCCTCAATTTGCTATGCTAATTTCATTTTTTTATCATTTATATTTTAGGCTTCGGTAACAAACACTTCTACAAATACATACAAGTATTAAAAATGAATTTAAAAAAAAAAAATGGTATGTATGACAACGCATGTGCGGAAGTGTACTTTTAGGTTTGTATAAAATGTGTTTTACTTTTTGTTTTTATAATTAATGTTTGCATTGGTGTGCATGTTTCTTTTAATTTTCATTTAATTTTCCTGGTTTATTATTAATTTTTTGTAATTTTCACTTATCAAGTCTTCATTAAAGCTTTTGCGTAACTTCAAACCATACTAATCAATAAATTAATTATGCCTGCTCACTACCCGCACTTCCATTTCTTTCCTTAATCACAAATATTTAATAACTGGGTAAAACTCTTTACCTACATACATTCCTATCTATGCACATTATAATTGCTTTATTAAGAATCTATTGTAGTTCATTGTACGAGAAATTTAAGATAGCATAAAATTAAAGTGAAATATGATAAATAAAACAGATAATTGTAATGAACTTGATTAATTTTGAAATTAAAAAACATGCATTTCTTAAAACTTTTTTAAAACTGACAAAGGAATATACATTTTGATTCGATTTTGACTCTGAATTTGCATATTTAATACTTTCATAAAACATTTTTAAGCACTGTTACTGCAAAGCCATACACATACACACATTATGAAAATTTTAATTCTATCGTAAATACTACAATAAGACATTCGTAATGTATTCCTTCGATAGCAAGATTTTGTACTAGATGGTGTTTCCCTAATAAAAAAAAAGAAATAAAAATGTATAATTTTCTTTTTCTCGTTATCCAACATTATTGGGCACAGTAACAAATGGCGAATTTTAATGCAAATGTTGAATGAAAATCACTAGCATAAGAGGTTAGGCGTAAGAAGAGGTTTCAAAAAAAAAATATAATATCTTAGAATTATTTTCCAAAAATTTTAAATAAATTCAACCAATACTTTTTGATTTATTTGATAATTTGATTAAAGGGTTGTTGGGCGCTCTGGAACGCAAAACTTCAAATGAGTTTTTATCAAAACTATTTTTTTGAACTGGCAACACTGTGGCTGGAAAACCGTTCGTTAGATTTTAATGAGGCAATGAGCTTCGGTTCGACCTGAATCACACACAAATAGCTATTACTTTTAAAATTATTAATTTTTCTTTTAAAATATCTGTCATGTTAAATCGAAACTTTATTGAATGATGCTATGTTTTTACTTTTATATAATACAATTATTTACTGGCAAAAAAATTATTTGAAATTGTAGTTTTTTCATATCTCTAACTACACCTAACCCCATAAAACTGGAAATAAATATTTTATGATGTTTTTATTTAACAACTTCGGATTGTGTACTATGTATGCAGGTTATGTCTGAGTAGCAAAAAATACGCTTGTTGTTATTTTACTTACATTTAAAAATGCAATTCGCTTAATTTCACTAGTGTCTGCGTGTGTGTGTAAATTTTAAGATGTTCATAAAGTATTTTTTATCGCACACAATCATTTTGTATGCATTTGCTTTTGGATTATTGGAATTAAACTCTAGACAGTAGATCGTAAGCGTTTACATAGACTTAAAAAAAAAATAAACTAGGATTAAATAAAAATATTGATTGCGTTCAAATATCACGGCTGCACTTTCAAATAGATTGAGGCAAAATCGTAAGAAGCTTGGCATATACATAAATTTAAATGCGTATATACGAAATATATGTCATCCGTATATGAACAGGCTAAGGTTTAAAATATGTATGTATAACTTGCTTTTTACTTATTTTTTTTTTTGCAAAGTTTACATAGTCGTTTTCAAAGTAAAAGATAAGTTTAGCACGCAATAATACAATATTATATTAATATATCAATTGCAAGTGGCTTTTGCTTTTGCTCTGAAAAGGTCTATATATGCAATGTGTACTAATAATTTACACAAAATAAAAGCGTACATTTGGTAAAGAAAATTTTAAAATGCAAATTCAATCTGTTTTACATACACATATGTACCTATGAATTAATTGGGTTTATGTGCGAATATAAACTTTCTGTTAACTCAAAATAATTTTTGTTTTATGTATTCAAAACGTACAATATACCTATACATATCTATAGTGGTATGTTAAAAATTAACAAATTTGTGTAGTTCATTCATCGCACACCCATCAACTAGTCACATGACTATTATTAATAATTTTCATTGTTCAACTAAGTTTCATTTTCATATTACGTTGTGCGCGTCCAATAACTAAATAATTGTTGATTCTTTCTGGCTTCTTCCTAGAAGAAGTCGGAGAAAAATGTCAAATTTTTATATTACTATCATTACAGATTACTTGCGGAGTTCAACAATTATATTGTATGTTCACACATGGGTCATATACAATTTCATATTACTAACAAAAAGTAAGCAAAATACAATATATTCAATACATACTAACATACGTATATAGCATCACAATATTCAAAATATTTACCATTTAAGATTGCAACTAACATTTGCAACATATTCACAAAAATTGGCAACAGCAGTTCAGATTTAGTAATTATTGTTTACAACGACACTCGAAGCATTCTCTTCCCACACACAATACCTCTTACTTTTTTACACAAATCTAGGGAACTAGATCTTTTACTTTACAATCATGCGCAAGTGTGATAAGAAGAATGTTTCGAAGCCATTCAAACAAGAACTATTTTTAAGCATACCTTTTATACATACATATTTATTATCATAATTTTCTTAATGGTAAGTCGGACATTGTTGTACCGTATTGCCGGCAAATGCTTAATAATCCATCACAATTTAATTTGATATAAATCAGTTATCAGACAGTAACAACTATCTGGTATCCCCCAAAAAAAAAAAAAAATTATTATGAACTAAAAAAACAAGGTACTGGGCTTAAGTGCTCCGCTGTAGCCGCAAACAATCACTCATCAGGATACTGTTTTAAGGCAGTTGTAATCAATTTACACTTTAAATTTTCATCGTAAAAAGAAGTAACTTTAGTATGCTCTGATTTTAAAAATTAATTCCAATCAATATTTATATTTTTAATTACAATTTTTCATATTTGTAATGGCCAAAATTGATATAGGAAAATATACATACAAACGCCGATTATTAACTTTTTTTTTTGCATTAAGGACTAGCATTAATTGAAAATTACGTTTTTTAGCTTTAATAAGCTATTAATTTGATGGTTGAAATTTTATTACATATGTATGTAACTCTTCTCTTGCACTTTCTAATGTAAATACAAACATATGTACGCCAGAGCGTACAGAATTGCATGAAATGATGTTTGTTAAGTTCTGGGATTTTTGAACAACTTTCCGACTATAAATGTACATTTATTTAAGGAACAGCTCTTCAAAATTTCATCACTTGGCAGGCGTCTTTTGAATAAATGTGGTTTGTAATAATAAATTAAAGCGCATTTTTGTATTGGGCCTTGCGGTCGTTTGGTTTTTGTCTTTTATCTATTGTTGTATTTATGGTTTGTACATGGCTTGATGATGGAAAAGTATCATCAAACATTTTAAAATTTACAATTTCTAGTTTAAAATTTGTTAACATTTATCTTTGGGTCTTTTTGTCATTTCTGCAAATACTTTTCAGCATGTTATTTCGCTAATACAAATTTTCAAAATGTTAACGTTCTTATATTTACATTGAGAAGTATTCTCAATTTTTTTTTTATATAATACAAATTATTACCTACTACAGTCCAGAAGACTTATGTAAATACATATTAAGTAATGAAATTATACAGTTACTATGAAAGATGCTGAATTAAAAGTTAGAAAACTATAAATAAATATAACTATATTATTTAAATTACAATTATATTTAAATGTAAAGTACAAAAACGTAACATCCGCGCCAAAACTTTCAAATTTTTGGTTTTTAAGTAATTTTTTTTTTATTTAAATCGGCACATTTTATATGTAGCATTACATATGCGAATACATTTCAAGTTAAAATCCTGTTAGGTACAAAGAGCTACATCTATTTACTTTCGTTTTCAATTTGTTATTATTAATTAAAAAAAAAGCAATCAAATACTAGCATAGAACCCTCAATCAAAAATATAGAAAAAATAAGGATATCGGAACTTGATGTGTTGGCGCAAAAGCAACGCTTATTGTACAAGGGTACTAGCTTTAATTAATTCTCTACAATTAATTTGTTTCACAAATTAAAAATGATAAATTGTTAAAATTTAATACGAATAATGAGAATCTTGTTGTTTATGGTAAGTAAAATAAATTTTGGCATATGTTACAAAAAATGTTTTTATATTGACTGCCGCCATTGCTGAACATATCCCCCACTCGATGAATGTTTTCATGTTATATTTCTAATGTCGCTGCTGATTGTGATTTTATGTTAATACATTTTTTGGTTCACATGTTTGCAGCTGCAACTGCTGTTGTCCTGGTTATCTGAAGGTGTGACGCATGGTCATTCCGCATTATTTAAGCGCACGTATAAGGTCACAGCTTAAATGGTTTTTTCCTCGTTGTTAATTTTTATTGCTTTTATTGCATTTTGTTTACAATTGTTTTTGTATGTATTATATTAACGCTCAACTATTTGCTTCTTTACTTTGGTGGGTTGATGGAATTCATTCTTTAAAAAAGTTATATTTTTAGTGTCATTGCCATTTGCAAACAACAGGATAGACAGAATTCACAAAGTTCTTTAATAGTAATTATTATACAATATTTGTGGCGAATAATATTATCTAATGTTTCTCTGTGTTGTTTGTTGTTTTTGATTCTGTTTTCAGTGCCATACAGATGCGTAATTAGACTGAATTGAAAACTCGCGGTTTCGATTTATATTTTAAAATTTTCTTAAACCTTTAATAGTTATAACTTAATAGCAAAAATAATAATTTGTACAAAGTTTCTTTTACAAGAATTTTGAATTTACTAAATTATTGAATTTTTAAAGTTTGCATTTCCGTTAGTTTTATTTGTTTTCGTTTGTTCAATTAGTTTAGATATTAAAATTAAATGTTTCATTTTATTACTTGAGATCACAAGCAGTTGTTATTTGTGTCGTAATTTGCGTTAATAGGCAAATATTGTATCTTTCACGTACATTTTATTAGATTAGCTTTTTGTTTAAATTTTTATCACACCATTTACTAGATTGCAAATTTGTTATCTACTAATTTCCAGGTCAGCAAATTGTAAATATTATTATATGTATGTATTGTTTGAAATGTTTACGATGGTAATTTTGATTTAATATTTATTTGCAGCGCACTCATACATAGTTCATTGCGAATATCACATTTTGCATTCGTGCGTTTAACATATGGGTAACTCAGTTTTCTTATCGATTTTAGACATTGTTTTCTAATATATTTATTTGATGATCGCTAGTTAAATGGTGAATTAATTTATACTGCTGTACGGATATTATTCGGAGTGCATAGCGGTTATGATTGCACATTTAACAACAACTTCAAGTTGTGCGTATCGAAATCGTCAAGCAAATTACGCTTCGAATGCTTAACAACGTGACCACCACAGGTATGTGCATCAGCTGCCAGTGCTGGGTTGCGCGCTGTCGTTACACTGTGTAGTCCGGGTCCAGCACTGCTGGTTGTTTTATGTTCTGCCTTGCCCAGGGTCCAATGTTGCGGTGGTTTTGGTAACGCTGTAGGCGCCGGGGCATCGAAGCATTTGCTGCCAGCGAAATGCGTCAACGCAGTGGGTAATACCAGGTGTGTTGGTGATAACTTACCAAATAATGGGCTACTAATCATCGCGAATTGAGCGCGTGTCTTGCGACCGGCACTGCCGCTGTTGCTATTAATTGCAATTGGATTTTCACCACCACCTAATATAACAGCTGGCGATTGACGGGCCTGCTGCTGAGGTTGTTGCAGATGTTGGAAGTGAGGTGATTTTAGACCATCACTCTGCTTATGAGCACTACCGCCACGTCTACCGCCGTGATGCGATTGGTAATGATAATTATTATTACTAAAGAAAACTGCGCTATCAGTGCCACTTGAAAGGTGTGGCGAATCGCGCTGCTGCTGTTGTTGTTGGTTTTGCTGCTGTTTACGCTGCTGTTGCTTACGTTGACGCGACGAAGAATGTCCACTACCAATACCACTAGAACCTAGCGAGGAATCACTGCTTGTAGATGAAGTGGAAGCACCCGATGACATTACACAACCGGGTGGTGAAGAACTTAAAACTTGTTGTTGTTGATAATATGATTGGTAATTTGTACTGCTAGCAATACTGTTGGAATGTGCAGTTACATTTAAAGTTGTTGTCGGTGTGTTGCGGTTCACATTACCAACTCCTCCTCCATTTGACATTTTTTTTAAACGAATTGTCGTCGCATCTGCTGCTGCGGTTGTTGTCATTTTAAAATTATTACTAACGCTATTGTGCGAGTATGTCATTTTTAGATATTCAGCGTCCTGTGTTCCTTCCTCAATGTAGCTCTTTATTGTTTAACTCTTATCTAATTTTTGTATTATTTTACGCAGTGTTCTTGCCTCTTCAATATTTTGTGTTTAAAGTAATGCTTATTTTTTAAATATCACACACAATAAAATCAACGTTAATTTGAGTTTATCCGTTTACAAAGTCTGTGGTTCTTTACCCTTTTTGTTGTCAGTTTAAGTAGAAAATCTGTTTACGTGCGGCACTGCTATTTGAAAATTTGCCTGCACTCGGAAAGCTTTTCTCACTTTTTCCAGCATCAAACTCACCGTCTCTCCTTCTGCTTCTCTCTGCGTTTATTCTTAATTTTTATGTTATTCTCTTCCTATGTTTTCTTCCTTATTTACATATACATACATATAGTTATTATATATATTGCTATGTATAAACATATACATAAATTTTATATATAATTTTGTTTTGTATTGTTAATCAGTCTGTTGATTTTTCCGGTTTGTTTTAAGCTTTTCTTTTTAGCTACTTTACTCATTAGCTTACGCTTCTTCGTCTTCTTCGTATCTTAGTCCTTCTGTGTGATCCTTTCGTTCGTGGATGGCTCCGGCGGTACATCTAGTTAGGGTCCTGAAACAAAAGTAATTTTAAAATTAATATATGCTAACAAAATTCTCAATAGGTCGAAGTTTGTACAAAAACATATAACATATTATCGTATTCATCTTAAAAGTGTTACATTTAAAAATCACGTAAAAATATAAATTTTTTTTTAAACTTGCAATTCATTCATTTATTTTATACAGCCTGAGTTATGCTAGTTCGATATATAATGAGTTGGAAGTTTGTTTCTTATTTAAGTTTATTGAATAAATAATAAATACCTGGAAAGAAAATATTTAAGTTTGCGATATGTGTCATAAGGGTATTTCATGTATGCTTTCATATCAGTTTGATACCATCTGTCGCTACAAAAACAACAACAACAACATTTATTGTAAAATTTCCATTTTAATTGTAGCTCTTTTAACCACAAGAACTTAAGGCACTAAGTAAAATATTATGTTTAAAAATGTAACCAGCTCATCATATTGGCATTTTTTAAAAAGAAGAAAGAATCATTAATAACAGTATTAGACAAAACAGTTGCAAAAGATGTGTTTTTATATTTTGTAATTAAAAATTAATTGAAATTTTATTTGCTTAGCTATCAAATTCTGTTTTCCAAATTTATTTCAACAACACATTTTTTTTGGGAAACAAGTAAATGGATACAAACTCAGCGAGGTGGTCCACTCACATCGAAAATCTAAACAAACCAGAGAATGTAGCGATTTATTTAATTAAAATTGGTTAAAACCTACACAAAATCACTTCAGAAATGAGTAAATAAACAACAACGTCTTGCAATTTCTTTTACCTTTCTATACTATTTCTTCTTCTATCTACGAAATTATGTCCACGAAAAAGGAAATAATTTTTGGGGAAAAGATTGGAATTGCAGATGAGAGAACTTAGTGAATATACAGTGCCTCACAAGAGTATTCGGAAATTATATTTTTTTTAGTAAAAAGAATGCAAAAGATTTTTGGTTTGAAGAATTTTGTTTTGGAAACTTTATTATTACTTCAATTAAAGTTTTAACTCTGACTTAAAATAAAAAAAAACTAATTTAAGTATAAACTTGACCAAACATCACAAAATTATTCGGAAATTTCGTTTCTAGCAGGCCTGGCAAAAGATTCGTTATTGTTGCTGAAGTTTTAAGCTATCATTAGCAATTTTTGTTCAGTTTAAAAACAAAATTTTTAGAACGTGGTCATTTTGTCTTTGTTTGTGAAAAAATACGATAAATTATGTAAAATATGGGAAGAAAATCAAAAGAAACCACATTCGAAGAAAGGAAAATAAAATTTATATCGGAATTCAGTACTTTAACACAGTCTGAGATGATACTTAAGATTTAAAATGAGACTATTTTTGTGACTTTAGACGATTTTGCAATTCAATACGAGACAGTCACAAAAATCTCTCAATTGAAAACGAACAGCTCTACTCAGCTGTTACATTTCGTTAATTAGAGATGTATATAAGAATGAAAAAACAAGGTCGATAACAAATATTAAATTTTCTATAAGTCAAAAAACATAATAAAAAAAAAAAAAAAAACAATATAATAATGATGTGACTTTGAATCGCAATAACTACGAAATTTATTTGAATTTTTTATTTTAATTTTCACGTGATTGAGTTTCTTCCAAAATATAAAAACAATCGATAAATATCTATGATGATCTCTATAAGTAAGTGTCAGTATATTCAAAATGGAAATCAAGAATTAGTTATGTCCTGCTCCAAACTGTCAACTCGGCACCATTTCTAGGAATTAGTTCAGGAATGTTTTCAGCAGTTACAACTACAGCAATATGAGAGAACTGAACTATATTTCATTACACAAGTATACGAATTGTTTACCAAAGTGCAACGTTGTCACTTTTCTCAGATTGCGTTTGCAGCAAAGATTTTTCAGACTTAGGTAGGGAAGAAGTTATCTTAATCTTAAGTATTTAAAGATTTATAATCTATATAAATTTAGTAGTGCAAATTTACTCACTTTTCGCTTAGTAAACCTTTTCACAGCACTCTTCTAATTGGCTAAAGCACTGCAATCTTACCACTTAACGAAGCTCTAGTTTCTCATGAACTGACAATTATTTGTTTCACTATAGCTCTCACTCTATCATGTACGATATTCCAATTGCGTTTCGATAACGTCGTATTTTTCTTATACATGTATAGGTATTTTTTTCGTATACGAATGCAAAATGGCAGACAAATAACGATTTTCTTTCTTTCCCTAAAATACGATTATCAAGCCAAATTTTCTTATTCCAGCAACTTTTCTCCTTCACACGGAATATGAAATTTGTCTTTCCGTTAAGATATGTTTAATTTGCACAATTATAGAAAATCGATTTCTTTGCACACTTCACTCTTATTTTAGCCTTCGAAAGTGAGCCTGACCAATTACTTCAATTACCACATATTGTTTTAATTTTCACTTAAAATCTGGCTTTCTAATTCACCAATTTGAAACTGAGATAAACAAGCAAAACGTTCCGTTATTTGAACTTTTTTTTTAGCTTAATCTAGTAGAATCAAGAGTAATGTATCTTCTTTTCACATACAACACACAGATTTTTTCAACTCCTTAACCACACAAGGTCTACCGTTACTCGGGCAATTGCCGAAGAAACTGATTTCCAAGTATTGATATTTTGTTAATAAATTTTCACTTATATTTTTACGATTTGTACGGATGATTTATTTGCAACAAAAATTAATTTTTCTATTGGGTTTATATAAGGAAAATTCTATATAACACTATAGTTTAATGGCCTTTACAATGCGTTTGTCATCACTTTTGTATATTAAATGCCGTCTCGTTTTCGTTTTACATTCCAACTTCCGTAGACACGTTACACCAAAAACGGCAATTTAAAGACAATAGCGATGATCCATTTAACTCGAATTATTTCAGTATTCTAATAGTATCAATCGTTGCACTTTTGAATTATTAAAGATATCACTTTCGCCAATTAGTTTTCAATCAACTTTTTGTCAACCAAAAATCTCACCAATTGGTTACTGCGCGTCGCAAACGATTTTTACACAGTTTTAGAACTTCAAATGCCTTTCGCTTGTGTGGTTTCCGCGTTTTCCACGCCTTCTCTCAACTTAACGTCAACACAACTCTATGATAACTTAAATTTCGAATGACATACCAGCTCTTTTAAACATATATTTTTCTCAGAAAAAGATACTTATTTACCAGGGTATTTTTAATAAACACCAAATAAATCACCACTACATAAAACAATACGGGGATATTTTTACCCGACTGCAAATTTTCTTTGTGCAATGCCAGCAGAAGCCTCTACCTTTGTCTCTTTTTAGCACATACAATTCTGGCTTTGTTTTGTTTTTGTAAACGAATAAGGAGCACAGCTATTTTGATTTCACCTCTTCTAAATCAACAGGGTTGCACCAATCATTAATAATAACTTTTAACACTACACGGCTAAAGAATAATTAGTTAAGAGTCTATGGTAGTAGCATTATAATATTTTATAAAACTGAAGGCAAACAAGGCATTAAAAGTATGCTAATAGTCGGAATACCCAGAAAATTCTTTGACAAGGTTGTGATTCCGATGATTCCGGATTCGAGTGTTACAAGATCTATTTGCTCTGAATTTACCTAAATTTTTTAGAATCCCTGATAGAAAAAAGACCATGCATAACGTGTTTTGATCTCAATGAAAACAGTTATTGCAAATCATCAATATGACAGAAAAGAATTACGTAAAAGCAGCTTATTTCCATGATTAAATCATGCTTATTTCTTATATGAATAAGATAAGACATATGAAACACATTCTTAAGAAGATGTAATGGCAACATTAAGGAAGTTCTCTCTTTTTGACATGTTGTTTGTTTGTTTATAAATACTCAAACTTGAATCGTAGATGCTTTAATAGTTTGCTAGGAAATTTTATGAATTTTCGAAAAGAATTTAAAGTATAGCAGAATGTTGGATGCTTCTGAAATGATTATATTTACTGAAAAGTTAATCGAAGGAATTAAACATTTCCCGGTTTTATATGACAGAAAAGTAATGCGAGCAAAGGACAAGATCGAAAAGGAAGAAGCATGGATAGCACTTACTAATCGGCTACCCACAAATTTAGGAATTAAAGGTGCTTCTTTTATTTCATACATATATAAAATATAATTTTAATATGCAAAAAAACATATTCTAAAAATTGTTTTTCAGTTGATGATACGAAGAAAAGATGGAGAACACTAAAAGATTGTTATTCCAAATATCTTCGTAGTTTTAGAACAAGCAATAGATTTGAAGCCCGCTATCAATCATGGCGTTGGTCAGAGCAGATGGATTTTTTTAAAACATTTATGTTACACAATGATAGTAACGATGATGATCAAAGTACATTTCAAAAAAAAGCGGAAAAACGAAATTATGACAAAAGAATGAATGACTACCAAACACACATAGTAAAAAATAATTTTAAAAACCGAACAAATGTAGATATAAGTCAAGAAGTGTATGTTAAAAGCTCACGGCTCAATAAGATGGAGAGTCCAAGTAACCAAATTAAAGGCGAACTCGATGAAGTCGATGATGAAACTTATCAAGCCATTGCTAGTGCAGTATCGGATTATGGAAACACATCTGGTGATTGGGATGGATTAATGAATGACCCGGATAATGAAGAAATTCTCCATAATTCAACTACAAAAAGCATTATATCAATACACGATGAAAAATACTTAGACCCTTTGGAGGGAAGAAATTTTGACGGCATAGATCTGACATTTCTTGGATACGCCAGTAGCATCAAGAAACTCACACCTCGAAGACAATCTATTATAAAATTTGCCGTTGCTAAATTGATAATGCGAGAAGAATTAGCACAACAAAATGACAACGAAAAGACTTATTTGCATAATACAACAACATAAAATATAGAATTAAATAAAATATTGTGTTTGATACTAACATACATATTTATGGTTTTCAAATTAGCATTAGATAAATGCAAGAAATTTAGCATTGATACCCTAAATACGAATGAATACTTATTAGATGTGTGGGTACTCAACGCAGGTAAGGTTGGCAAATAATCTTTTGGTCAACGCAATTTTTTATTAAATTACATAAGTATCGAAAGGCTAAGGTATCAATATAAAATTTTTTAGATATGTAACACAATACAATTGTAAAACAAAAAAAAATGCGAAATCGTATTGCACACAACGTATGGAGGAGACACAAAACATTGTTTACCTTGGCCTTTTAACTCACAACAAAACATATCAATGTATATATGTAAAACTTACCTATGTATATATGTAACCCTAAGCTCGTGAAGCGATTTTAGTAAAATTTAACACATTGTCTAATTTGATCTAACTTAAAAGAGATAGTTTATATCTCAATCATGTAAAAAGTAAAAATAACTAACAAAAAAAAATATATTGCTATATATAAGCTTATGCTCAAAATTTAAATATATATATATATATATATTAATTTTCAGTAAAATATCATATGGAAAATCAATTTTTTGATTTTTCATTGATAAATATTTATGAGTAATTTTCAAAATTAAACCTAAAGTGCAATTGCTTGGATTCTGATACCGGCAATAACGTTTTCACCTTTATTTGTAAATAATATTGAATAGTTTATTATAGTAGTATTTAATATACATATACCTTGTATAGTACATATGTATGTATATATTTTGTGGATTCCATACTTTAGATTAGATTAGATTAGTTTTGAGGTATGCACCGCGACCTAGGGATTCGATACTTACATGAACAGTTGGCCATGCATTTTTTAATTTTGATTCAACGTTAGAAATATTTTAATCAAGTGAAAATAAGCGAACAAATATTCACCTTCTTGTAATGCTAGCACAAAGTTTTATTTATTAATTTATATATTTTGTCATTGCCATAAACACATTAATATTTACTTTAATTCCGAAATTGTAACAAAAACTGAAAATTTTTGCGTTGTAGGAATAATTTCAGTACAGTATGTTAAGTTTTGAAATTCTATCGAATTGTAAATATAAAGGATACATAGAATAGTTTATTTTATTTTTGCAAGGTAGCTGATATATGTATGCTTAAAAGTTTATCCATTTTGAAGCAAATATATTTCACATTTTGTAATTTTTTGTAATAAGTATATGGTCCACATGAACATGGATTTATTGATCTTTCTTTGAATTTAATTTTGTGTAGTTGCATTATTATATTTGTTTGTAATTTTAGTTTATTAAGGAATCTACGATATATAAGAATGTATTTCAAAGTGACTCGTGAACTATTTTATTACTTTTGCTTGCTTTCATATAACATACATCACAGCGGAATTTTATATAATATTATGACTTTTCGTTCCTGTTCAATTCAATTGAAAAGGTTTACTTTTTATAATGAAACACAAATTTTTTTTATTAGGAAACAATTCAAATATCGATCAAATGATGCTAATAATCAATGTCAAAGAAACTTATAACAATATGTATACACGTTAATATGTTTTACTGAAAGCTAATTATGTCTGTTAATTACAAATTGATATACACATATGTAAAACTTAATTTAACTTTAATGTCTTTTCAAATAATATTTATCTGCACAAACAAGCACTATTAATTTCTCAATACTTTTCTTATACTTATAATTAAGGGTTTACATATAATTAGTACCATATATTTGTGCAAGTATAAAAGATAACCATGAATATTCTATATACAATACAGTCATGTGATAATTCTATTTCAATAAACCATTTAGTACATATTTATACTTGTATTTACGTCTCATAATCAACATAAGCAAAAAGTACTTAATAATATAATCGTTTTTAGTATTACTGTGGTAATTACGCTTGATTTCGTACATATATGTATATAATAGTACTTATTAGTATTTGGGAAATATATATTGGTGATTTGAAAAATCTTGAAAATGCGCAATATGGCGGTATTTTTATAAAAGTGTTATTTATGAAGATAAATACGTGCATTTTCAGAAATCTATAAGTGTATCATCTGTGCACAAGTTCATATGTTTTATACAAGTACGTCATTTTGAAATCATTTATTTTAACGAATGCATATTGTGCTATAGTTTATCCACTTTACAATAATAACCCAATGAAATGAATGCCCTTAAAGTTTAAGCGAAACTAATGTATAATGTTGTAATATATAATGAAAAATCAGTAGGCATATACAAATTGAACTACAAGAATACAAAATATCCAACATATATATGTATCTCCAACTGAAAATTTAACGGAATAATAATGTTTTTAATATTTCAACCGTGTTATAGCAATATCTTCTCATTTATGACGTCAAATGAGATATTAGTGACATCGTAGTTTAATAAGTTTATTGAAATATGTATGTGCCAAAACTATGCTACCCAAATAGAAACGTCAACTTTCAATTTCGAAATTGAGAAATGCATACTTCATAGTTAAAACACATAAAAAAAAAATTATAATAATGTGGCACTTCTAATTTGGTACTAGATGATTGGCGGATAATTTACTTCTTTGTGTAGTGTGAGCGTTTAAAATATTAATGCATATTTCAGAGGAGTGTTTTCTCGTGTTGAAAATATCCGGAGTTTTGACTTTGCTAGCTTAAGATTGATCGCTATTAAAGAAATGTTCAATGAATTTTTTTAGTGCAGAGTTCCGTCGTTTTATTCCACCACTCGCTTAGTCGTACGCGGAAACTTCTACGCTACGTTGCTACGTTGGAAACTTATCAAGTTATTTTAAAAATTAAAAAGTATTGAACTTTGACGTTAAATATTTACGAATCTTCTCCCGTCGCTTGCATTTTATATTCAACATAGATAATTAATGGAATAGTCGCGTCATTTCGAATTAATTATTTTTCGAATAGCTATAGAAATGTATTGTGGATAAATGGAAACGGATTTTGGTAGCTAATAAGCAGAGGTGTATTTTTTGATTTTCTTTTGTCTTAGTTTCTTCTAAACAACATAATTGCATTCGTATATTACTTATTTAATAGAAATTTATTTTTATGTCAATTACATATGTATGTTGTTTTGCGTTAAATATGCAAATGGAGGGCAGGAATCGATTTCATATTTTTAACGCGCACTAATGCAACATTATTTTTTATACGAGTATAGGTGTGAATGTATTTGTATTTATTATATGTACATATTTGATATTTATTTAACTCTTTATATTTTTTTACACACATATGGTTACATTTCTCCAGCTGTGCTGAAAATATGAATACACTTGACAATTAAAATTTTTTGTTGTATTTTATTGATTACTTTCAGAACATATCGATTAATTAGTATTTTTATTTTTCCATCTACATACGCGCTCACAGCAATTATAATATATTTATGTATGTACATATATATGCATTTTTTAATATTACAAATCACATAAACATTGTTTGAAATACATTGTTATAATTTTGACATTATTTGTTGCTTATATGTATTTATGGTATAGTCTACTTCAAGATAAATCTATGCATGTTCACATATATCGTAAACCTACATGTATTATATATTAATTGCTCACATTTATTTAAAGAACACAACGGATTTTTAAAGCGTGCCTTAATGATATACATAAACGTTTTTATGTATGTAAAACTGCATGGTAAGCACTAAGTGGTATTCTAATCTAAACCTCTAAGTAAAAACGTATTCATAATGAAATCAAAGCAGACTGTGTTTAAAACTTTTTACTATTGAATAGCAGTCGTCGCATTTTATATATTTTATATACATACGATGATATATAGCAATTCACGAAAACTGGTTGTAATTTTTATAATGAACGTTTTGATTTTTTAGGGTCTCCATGTAAACTCACATGTGTAATTTAGCGTGATTTCAGTAATGGAAGCTCTTACAAATATAACGGGATTAGCGTGTATTTCATTTATGTTGTCCAAATTGACATTCACACACACAAACATACAAAGATACGGAAACAAATGTATGCTTATAAAGTTTTTTGTTTTTTGTTAATTTAATTAGCTTTCCAAGAAAAAGGAAGACAAGTACACTAAAAATTTCTACATTTTTAAATATTACACCATTTAAATACATACATTTCTGAATAATTGCTAATAAAGTAAATTTTAGAGGTTCGCTTCGGTTACATTATGCAGTTTAGTGGGTGCTAAAATATTGTTGTTGGCAAATTCGAAGAAATGTGACTATGCTTTCGGCTGGACTTTGGTGTTTTGTTTTACGTGTATTGTGCTTTTCATACATTTAGAATGCATGTATGTGAATACTCACTATGTAACATATTTAGTTACAGCGTTACAGCATCTGCACTGCTTGATTTTGTCTTTAGTCAATATTTCAATAATAGCTACTTGAAAACGTTACATATTCGTTGTAGTTTGAAGGCAATTAACTTTTTTCATTTGTTAAACATATGTAGATAGATGTATACAAAACATTTCCGTCTACAATTATGGTGTATGTTTATTTTTTACGTCTAAACAGCCTGGAACTGGTTGGTGTCTCTGTCTATGGAAAATTATTACACTAAGCTTTTGCTTAACTTAAGTCTAACAGTACGACATTTATTATCAAATAGTGCAGTATACATACACATACATACATTCATATACTAACATTGTAAGAAGAAATTGTACATGCATTAAATTGAAATTATTGGTTGTAAGTAAAAAAATATTAATTTTATGACACAATATTTTTAATTTTATCATATCAAATAGTTTTCTATTATTTTTGGGACAGTAGTTGAAGATCAGGAAAAAGTTTATTGAGAAGATTCTGTCGAAAAGATTCAGCAAGTAATGCATAATTAGTGTACCGGAATAGTATAAACTCTATCCAAACAAAGCAACTTGCCATATAACTTGAATTTCGATTTATTTATTTTCTTTGTCATATATAACATTAGCCACAACTAGAAGCTTACAAATTGTGTACGAAATTTGTTACATTAATAGACATGCACACCTACATACATAACTAAACTACTAGAGAAATGTTATTTATAAAAACAAAATTTGTCCATACACTCAATGCCTGAAGAACAATGTGATATATCTATGTACGTATGTATGTAAATGTCTAATTGCATTCCATTATATAGAATATATATTAATCCACTTTTACCTTTAGTTCGAAATTTGCGCTTTAGTGTGTTTTCCTTTTACTTGGTATTCTTAACAACAATTTATTAAATACATACATACATATGTGTATATATGTGCCTTTAGGAGCTATCAATTTGAATGGCGTGTGTATGTCGCTACTTTTAGATACCTTATATTTTTTACTAAGATTGTAGTAAATTTCTAGCTTAAAGGTGGTTTCACTGGAAACACGAAGAAGTACAAATATATCTATTGGACGTGGACGTTAGAAGAGTGCCTGACTTTTATGATTTTATGTTTATAATAAAATCATTTACTGTTACATTACAATATTTGGTACATATGTATTTATTTTCCATACTCTATTATTTTACTTTCCATACCCATTATATCGTTTCATTTAATGTGCATGTGTTGCTTGTGTCTGCTGTTGCCCGGTCCCAGTTTGCGTTGTAGTTGCCGGAGTTTGAGATTGTTGTTGCGTTGAAGGTTGTGGTTGCATTTGAGACTGTGTTTGTTGAGTTTGTTGCTGCTGTTGTTGTTCTGAATTTTCGAAGTAATCAGAAGCATTTCCCCGACAAATCGGACAGGTTCGATTTGACTATACATAGATACATATAAAGGAAAATATTAAGCAATATGCAAACAACTTTTCAGACAATATTAAAAATGAAACTTTGCAGATATGGTGGAAAAGTGGCTGCTGAATTTTTGAGTTTTGTTTTATATATTTTACTTACCCTTAGCCATTTGTCCACACACTTTGCATGGAATTCATGTGAACAAGGTAGCACACGGAGCACTTGCCTCAACTCAAAGTCGCACATGCAAACGACGCAAGATGTTTGATCACCTGCGAACGGCAACAATTCGTTAAAAATAGTGAACATGTTAAATCAATAAAATCATCAAATGAAACTTTACAGTAATTAAAAACAAAAACGTATTTTTAAATAAATATATAAATATTAATGTTAAGATTAAACCTCTTCAGATAGTGTATATGTTTAAAGCTCGTTATTTTTAAAATTATTGTGGTAGATCCGACATGTCCGGTCGAACAAAGAAACAAAGAACTTTGAAAAATTTTAACTTTACGGGGCACACCTAGTGTGAAATTTTGAAAAACCTAATTTCTATACCCTAAACAGGGTATGTTAAGTTTGACGAGCTGAGTCGATTTAGCCATGTCCGTTTATAAGATATCGATCGGAAATTTTAAACCGGTCCTTTTCTCACCAAGAAGCTGATTCTTTGTCAGAACGGCTGATATCGGACTACTAAAGCATATACAAGTACTTTCTATATTCACGAAATTTGATATGGATTATTATTTTAAAGAATTATGCAAATTATACCTGGCATACAAAGTGAACTATCGGAATCAAAACCTAGTATGGACAGCTTTTTCATTTAACGAGATATCTTCAAAAAAATTGTTTGATCGAGTCACTATAGGATAGGATAGTTCTTGGAAGGAATCTTTTGTACTTGTGATGCATATTATAGTTTCGGTGCAACCGAAGTTAACGTGTAGTCTAGTTTTGTTTGGATGTTTCGTTATATACCAACGACTATCCCTTAAAAATACTAAACTAAAATTTTAAATTTTTTAAATGAATATTTCAAATATTTTTGAGATAAAGACTTGTAAAGTGTAGCCGCACAGTTCAATCAGCTCTATCAGTTTATCTTTGAACACGTTCTTCTCGAAACAGTTCTCCATACAATGACGTATCAGTTTTTTTATAAGAGCTTTCGACATGCCAAAAACGACCAAAATTTTGAGTAAAATTGAACTTTTTTTTCGCCGCCTTTTAATCAATTTTTGTTTTTATTCTTATTCCCAAAAATCGCTGTTTTTAGGCTGTCACACTAATGCTCTTATATAATATTACATGCATTACACTTCTTTGTTCTTAATACGAAGTATTCTTATTTTTGATAACTTCAGCGCACTCGAGGTCGTATATAATATTAACATAGAGGGCGGCGTCTTGATAACGGTATGTTCAGAAATGATGGATTTTACATTTTTGTGAGCCTTTCTTTACGTGGTGAATTCAATTGGATTCAGGTCTGGCGCTTCAGCGGGCCATTCCACAACATCAATATTGTGGCTATTTACATTTCGATTAGGTTACTTTGAAATTAAACCGAGGATGATGACAATATAGACTAAGGATTGACAATTATATTGACCATGGATCATGGATATATTGAGATCCTATTTGAAAATTTGATTTAGTTCGAATTTTTTCTATCATCATTACGTAATGTTTAAGTACTAATATTATATTTTTAAACGTTAACCTCTCGACATGATTTAATGTACAATGCGAAGACATAAAATATGGTCAGATGTCACAATATATCTACTTGTATAACAATATTTAGATATCAACGTACAAAAAACGACTTCGTATATATGTATGTTTTACATATTTTATGATATTTAAGAAGACATTAGAAAAGAAGATGCTACTCACCACTGTGTGTATCTGGATTATACTTATAGCTTGGCAACTGATCGATTTCATTTCGCGCCAAGCCACGTGGCTTAGCTTCACCCAAACGCTCTGCCAAACTTAACAATGCTTCGTAATTCTCCGTCTCGTTTGAATCTGGTGAGTTTAGTTCATGTTGATTATAAGGTGAGAGAGGGAACATGGCGCTGCACGGAAAAAGATAAAAAATATGTCATTCGAGATGATTGAAAACAGCGTCGGAATGTATATTTACAGGAAATTAAGTAAGAAGCCCGGATTAATGATTCCAGTTGTTGTCTGAATTTGTACAGGAGTCGCTTGGTGTGGAGCCAGAGTCGGTGGTGAAAGCATATGCCTGTGTGGTCCATGCGGATGATTTGACGGCCAGAAGCGGGTAATACGACGATGTGGCGGAAAAACACGTCTCTGCGAACAACAAAAAAAAAACAGGAATCAAAATTTATGAAATGTTGACTTCGGACTACGGAAGTCCGAGAAAGGAACATAGTTATAGAAATTGCTTACCTCTGCGGAAAGCAAAATCGGTTGTGGTGCCGCAGACATTTGTACCGCTGCTGTTGCGGTAGTACGCAGGTGATGTGCAGCTGCAGCTGCAACCGCTGACATGGAGGTTATATGAATTGGTGTGGCTTGCAATTGATTGTGATGTGCCGGAGAAGTGGATATAGCAGCTTGGTGTCCTTGATGTGCATCTAGATGATGGACGCCGGCTTGTTCGAGGGAAAGACCCGCTACTGCAGCGGCTGCTGCTGCTGCTGCCTCAGTACGTTGTTGTTGGGTAAATTGAGCATGTTGGTAGTTGGCAGCGGCGACTGAAGCGGCTGCCATAAGGGCAGCAGCCTGTTGCGTGTGTTGTTGCTGTGCAGCTGCAGCTGCACTAACCTGCACCTGTTGTGGTTGCGGCATTTGTATTGGAGCGCCGCTGGTTGCTGCAAAACCTGCTGGGCCTTGTGTGAATTGAGCACTGGGATGTGTATTGCATGCTTGAGCTGTGAACGGTTGTGTATAAATACCATGCAGATGACAAGGTGCTATTCTAGCTTGAGGTGGTGGTGCTGGATAAGTGCAGATTGAGGCCCAAATTGGCTCGGCGTGTCGTAAAGGAAGACTAACAGGAACCTGATTGATGTCCAACATCAAAGGTGGTGGTGGCGGTGGCGCTCCCACTAAGGATGTTTGATGATGATGGCCAGGCGACTGTGGTGGAGGAGGAGTTTGCTGCATGTAAGCGTTCACGGCCACCGGCGCTGGATTTGAACTAGGTAAGACTGCAGCAGCAGATAGTGAATGCTCCCATGGTGAACGTTGCTGGATTTGTGGCTGTGGTTGTGGTAAAGATTGTGTTTGATGATGCGTTGGCGGTAATGGTTGTGGTTGCTGCTGCTGTTGTTGCTGTTGTGGAAGAGCGGGTGGTGGTGGCATGTGCTGTCGGAGGTAATATGGCGTAGGTTGTATTGAATGTTGTGGCTGGTGATAACTTTGCAAATGGTTTCCAATAACGTTGTTGGCATTAGTATTGTTGATACTATTACCAGAAATACTACTGTTACTGACATGATGGCCGCGATTATGATGAGATGACCCAGAATCATGCAAACGGGGACGGCGTATCGGAGGACTTCCCTGTTGCCCCTAAAAGAAAATTGATCAGTTGAATTTAATATGACTAAAAATATTTAACTAAATGAAAGTCTACTTGATTTCGAGGGGAACGTCTTTGTTCCCATATCGCTGGTGGTGACTGGCTAGGCATGCGTCCAGATATGCGCCGCCTCTTTCGCGATGGACTATCTGATTTTAGTCCATGGGGGCCACTGCTTAGTGAAGAAGTAGATCCCATAATTCCAGACGAGCCACTTGGCCCATCTAAAAGGTTGGATACACTACTCACTAATGCTGATGTTGATGGTCCATTATTGCTATAGTGATGATAGTGATGGTAACTGTAATTACCGGAACTGCTATTTTGGTGGCCATTGCGTCCATAATTATGACTATTTCTTCCCGTAGTGTAGCCAAACTGACTGCCAGAACCATTACTACTAACATCGGCTATGCTACCACGATCTGTGCGATTGTCCGCGTGAAAGTCAGCAATTCGGGAATGATTGTTACTACTAGGGCCATCAAACTGCTGTAAGAATTTAAGCAATAAATACACTTGAAAGTGGAATATATTAATTACGCGCACCACACGCTACTCACCACACTGTTGTTGCCGCTAACACTATTGCCATGCAGATTTACATTGACATTGTTATTGTTATTATTGCTATTATTATGATTTCTATCAAATAATCCTGAGTTAGATGCATTACTGCTATTGCTATTGTTATTGTTGTTGTTGCTGTTGCTATTGCTGCTGCTGCTGCTATTAATGATATTGTGTCGCCGACTATGTTCATTATACTGATGGTGTTGATAATTGTGATGATTGTTGCCATAATATTCATTATTGTGACGATGGATCATCGGGATACTATTACCACTATTATTGTTGCTTTGGTTTCCGCCTCCTCGTCGATAATTGTTGTTGCTATTCATATTAAATTCATTATGATTACTGCCATTATCCATGCCACGCCCATTATTGGTAAAGCGAATATGTCGCAAATGAGATTGCTGACCCATGCTCATATTATTGAATTGCTGGTGATAGTTGTTACTGTTGCCGTTAATGTTGTTGTTGCTACTGCTGCCACTGATGTTATTATCATTGTAATCATTTAAGAATTTTGAATGTGTTTTATTATTTTCATTTTGTATATTTTGGTTGCGTTTAGAAATATTATTGATATTTTTGTTATTGTTTTCGTTATATGAATTTATGTTGTTAACGGGCGCCGATACCATGCCGGTGGAAGATTCAAAATCGACAGCATACGATGTTTCCAATGCGATCGTAGACATTCCAGTAGTAGTAGAAGAAGGATCGTTGGAAAAAATTGGCACAAAAGATGAAGGTCGAGTAGATATACAGTTGGAAGGAGTACAATTAGAAAGCGTGGAAATGAAATCGGAAATGGGCGGGTTTCGAATGAAATCGGAGTTGCGTGGTTTTTGAATGATTGACGGTTTTGAAGTTACCGTGGAAAGTGAAGTTGAAGTTACAGATATTGTTGACATCGTCGTCGTTGGTGAGATCGATGTGACGATTGATGTTGTTGTCATCGTTGTGTCAGGTACATTCGTTTTTGATATTATTATTTTTTTATTATTGTAATTTTGATTATTTTCATTTAATATTAATCGTTTGGATGTAATTGTCGTTGATGTTGTTGTAGCGGTTGTCGGTAGACATCGGGAAGACATTAAAGATGTACTCGCAGCGCATTGATGCCGTGATAGTGGATCGTGTAGTGATTGTTGTTGCGAAGATGAGACAGATGTGGTAGTTGTTGTAGGCGTTGTTGTTGCCATTGTTGGCATTGTTACCGTTTTTAAAGGCATATGTTGTTGGGGTTGACGTTGTGGTCGCCGCCAGCGTATTTGAGCGTTATTCACCAGTTGTTGCATCATTTGTTGGCGTGGTGCAGATAATGGTGGATACGTTGGTTCACGTTGAGAAATTATGTCAGTACAAGAAGTTACATTCACATCATCAGTACAATTACTATTTTCAGTTGTTGTTGTAGACTTTGTAGTGTGTGTGGCAATTATATTTGTATTTGTTAGCGGGAGGTAGGATTGGAGGTTAGTCGGTATATTCTGATTGAGGTTGTGATGTTGGTGTGTTGGGATTTTGCTCGAGTTGTGATGGTGATTTTTACTTTGATTATGTTGTTGATGATTGCTACTATCATTGTCACTTTTACTATTCAAATTTAATGTATTGCGGTAATGATTATGACCATGACTATCATGATTTAGAGACAACCCTAGATTGTAGTCGTGAGTGCCGAATAGTTGTCGATTTTGATGAATATGTCTTCGACTTTGACTTTGATGCGGTTGTATATATGTATTAATGTTTGGATTTGGAATTTTCTTATTTTGAGAATTGGTATGCGGATCTAGACAATTGTTAGAAGAGTGGGATTTGGATATCGAGATGGTTTTAGTAGCTGATATTGCGCTATATGGATGGGAAATCAGGAGTGGTGTTAAGTGACTATGTAATTTCCCATTTGTAATCTTTGAGTGATCATTTATTTTACAAGTCTCGGGTGTAGGTTCAAAACATTTTGATGACGACCGGGATGAAATTGCAATATTATTCAAAAGATGTCTAAATTGTGAATAGGGGGGTGGATTGGGATTGTGATTGGGGTGGTGCAGAAAATTGTTGGTGGTGGAGTTCACGGCAACTGGAGAACATAGTGATGGTGATGAAGTGACAAATGCTGGCTCCGAGGTGGAAGCAGATGCAGAACTAGAGATCGATGTGGAATCGGTTATAGAGCTAGAGGAAATGACACTGTAGCTATACTGCAGGGTTTTATACTCTTGCGCTTGATATTGACTGTGATTGTGTGTACGATCTTGTTGGTGGATTTCATTTGTACTATTATGATTATAATGGTGATGATTAGAACAACTTTTATGATGGGTACTAATATGACTAAGCTGATTATGACAATATTGGTGAGAGATATGATCGTTGTTATTATTATGATTGTGAATATTGTGACTGAGGTGGTGATGGTGGTTGTTGTATTGGTTGTGGTGGCTATAGTAATTTCCTTGGCAATTATTAGGACAACTTCCACTCTTATTATTACATGTTTGTATATCGCTGGATTTATTTAAATATTTATTAATTAATTTGTTTATCGTTTGGTAGATTTGTCGATTGTTGGAGTAGTTTGTTTGCGTTAGGTCAACACATGTTTTCGTATTTAATAAGATTTCGGTTTTCAAAATTGGTTATTCAATGCAGTAGTAGTAATAGAAGTGGTACATAGTAGTAGTAGTAGTAGTAGTAAGAGTGGTGGTAGTGGTGGTAGTAAAACACAACCCATAATAGTTATTTAATGCATTTACATGTATAGTTATATGTATATATATGTTGCAGCCACATATATTAATATGTATTCAATTCGGTATATATATATATATATATATATATATATTTTTTTTTTAATTTTATGAAGAAGAAAGAAAACGAAAAAAGAAAAAATAATAATATTTTAAATGGCAAAATGCAATATTTATATATAGAAAATTGTTTGATTAATATTAATATTTACACACAAAGAAACAATAACATAATGTTATAATATGTAGTAAATGTAGGCAAATTGTCACACAAATTTACTTGTATTTGATGCACACTACGCTTAAACTATCGTTAACGGCTTCTTAACTAATTGCAGTTTCGTTTAAAAGCTCTATCGATAAAAGTTTTGAAATAATGAATTCTTGCATTCTCATTTTCCAATGACTTCGTAAAGCAGTTTCAATGCATTGCTAAAAGGATTAATTCAAATACTTCGTAAAATAAATACAACATTAATAAAAATTCACTTTCATTAATCATTGAATCGAATATTATTAGAACATATGGAATTATCGGCAAAATAAATAAATATGTATGTATATATTTATATATATATATGTATATATAAAAAAAAAATCATTATAAGAATTATTAGAAGAAGTGAGTATCGCTTACAAGTTCAAACTTCTATTCAGAATCCATTCTAAATATACAGGGGCTAAAAGTTAAGGATATAGTAAACTATTTGAAGTTAAGCGTCGAACATATTGTAGGTATTTAGACATAGATCAGGCAATGCTCGTTGCTCATACGTTAGGAAGCCAAATCGATGCTTGATTTCATTTGCAAGATATTTTTTGTTTGCGTTGAAGCGCAATATATGGCTCTAAACCGTCATTTATGCATGCATCCGGATTTATAATGTTTTAGTTAGAACCTAATATTAAGTGCTTAAGTTTATACGTGATTTTGACGCTTTAAAACTAGTCGTGCGGTTTGAAATGACGACCAAAGTCGCGGTCGTCCAGAAGCTAGTAATTGTGGTGAATTGGTGGAAAGGGTCCGTGAAATGATTGGAATCAATGCAAATTTTACTGCGAGAATATTAGCTGAGGGATAAACTACGAAAAACTATAAAAACAAAAAAGGGAACGAGTCTCTGATGAAAAAACGGATTGCTCTCATCAACCACTTTCCGTATACGCCTGAGCTATCACCATGTGACTATTTTATATTCCCAAAAACTTAAAACTAACATGATTGCCATTCAAGCGGCCTTAAGCGAGAGGCTGAAGAATTTTCCTATAAGTGACTTAAAAAATCTCTTCATGCGCTGGTTGAACGTTTCAAACGTTGTATTGGTCTAATGGAATAAATAAATAATAACTGCCAAAGATAATATAATATTTTTAGGACACACTGTATATGCAGAATTCATATAAAATACTAGAATAAAAAAGGGCTCGATTCTCTTAATATTTCAACGACTTTTTCCTAACACTTAATTTGTATTATTAGGCTTTATCCCGCAGATTTTCACATTTCGGTGCGTCTAGAAATTATGCTGCGGCGATATTGGATATTGGTTGTCCCTTTAGCTGGTTCTAGGAATACAATGGCATTACAAGTACATTTAAGTCTAGAGCAAGCGGTGTTGCATCGTTGAAAATGCCAAAATTAGTCAAGGAAATAAAATTACTGATTGATACTTATTATTTAACTACCAAATAATAGTGTAAAAGTTGAACTCAAACGGTGAATATTATCATGCGAAAAATAGTTAGTGATAATGATTTTGTCTATTACCTGCTTGCCCATGAATCGTTATTTTGAAAGGAACTTAAATCGTGGACACTTATTAAATATTACATAAACATACAATACATATGTAGTATAAGAATATATAATGTGTTAGGTATTTAAAATACGTATTTGCAAGAATCCAAAGCTACGAAAGCAAAACTTATATACTATTTATACATACACACATATTAAAAAGTAGGTACCCATCTTTGTATGTAATTAGACGACTAAATCTATTTATATTATACAAGGGCATAATTATATTTAATAAACGCATTTAAAAATGTGTGCCTGTTAATAATTTTTCAACTACACATTAGAATGTTAGTTATTTTCCAAGTTGATTTTTTTTTTTGTAAACGCTCCTTAAAGTTTCAGTTTTCGCACTAAAAAAAAGAATCAAAAGTAAACAAACTTTTTATTTTTAATTTAAACTATGCCTAAATCATTTTACTTTTACCATGTATTTAACAGATTTTTAAAACTTTTGCATTACAATTTTATGTTCGAAGCAAATAAAGCTACAGCTTTGAAAATAGGATCTTTGAATACAGAATTTTTGGCTCTAAAAAAAATTAATTTTTTCATAAAAACATTGCTTTAAAAGTTATACGCAGTTAAAGTTATGCATCAAATGTACTCAACATTCATACAGTACACCATGTCGTATGAGCAACACAGAATTTATAAAGCAACTTCTACGAATGCTCAGTAAATTGATTTAAAACTTCAATTGCGAATAACTTTTAAACAAATGCTTTTATGGAAAAACTAACATTTTTGTAGAGCGCAAAATTTATATTGGAATATCCTTTTCTTGAAATTGTAGGTTAATTTTTTTAATGCAAACAATCAAAAAATACCATGTTATATGCATGAGGGAGAAATATGTTTTAGGCTAAGTTTAAATTGAAAATAAACACCTTGTTTAGGTTGGTTCCTTATTTTTAGAGTAAAAATGGGGCGTTTGCAAAAAAAAAAAATCAACTTGAGAAATAAAAGATACCCTAATGTACATGCATATGTACTTAAGTAGTACGTTCATATGTACTTATACTGCATCTCCTAGCTAAATGGAACATTTTGCACATAAAATCTGATTTGAAAAATTTCCTAAATGTAAATTAAACACAACGTCATTCATAAATGGTGTATTAAATTTATACGTGTTCAGTTGTTATATTACAGTTTTTCTTGTTTGCAAAACTTAGAGGTAAAAAATTATAGTTAGCATTAGAGATTTGCTTCCATTAACTTTTACCCGTTTGAGTGCTAATATTTAATATTTTTTTTTACAAAAAGCGTGATCTTCATAAAAAAATATAGCATATAATTATATGTACATCTATAAAGAATCATTATATATACATACATATATATATAAATATATTTAAAGTGTTTAAGTTTTGGTTTGCGAACAATTAACGTAACTTCGTACAAACACAGTTGATTACGAGTAGGTGTTTAGAGAAATATTTCGCATACAATATACGAGCAGTTAACAGAGTTCGGAAATATTCATTTATGAATGGTCGCATACGAGAAAACATATCCACATCGTCGTGGTGGTTCACGAGCGTGAGGGAGTTCACAGGAGTGCAGTAGGGTAATAGCGGAGATTAGTTTAATGAGTGTTCTCGTCCGAATGTAAGTGAATATTTCCGAACACTGATATTTTGCAATGTTGCTGAAATTGACAAAAAATTTCATACATATTTGAAAAGTACACAATTACTTTGGAATAGTTTAAAGCCGCAGTGTGCAAAATGCAAATAAACTTGTAAGCCTGAGCTAATCGATTTGTTGCATTTTTAACATACATATTTAAATATTGTACTTAACCATAGGCAATATATAGTCGGCATAAACGTACCGTTAATCTACGAAAATAGCGTGTCTATAAAACGAATATGAACAATCAATCATACATAGTACATAATTAGCCATCTCTGTAAAAGCAACAAACATTTAATGATAAAACACATTTCTCAGACAGGTAAATTTGCAAATTTCATTAACAATCAATGAGCTCAGTCGGAAAATGCCATAATAAATATAGTATATATGTATTTCACTATGGATACCTACATACGACAATACAAAATGCGTATATTAGTAATTATTTATATTATTACAAACTATTTGGAAAAAGAGAAAATTTTGTAAACGTTTTGTTTTAATTAAAAAAGTTTATTTTTTTGGTTCACAATGCTTCTTAAATTCGACCAGGTTTCTACATCCATACATACCATACATATATAACATATGCATACATATATACATACATATATGTATATAGAATGGTATGTTTGTATATAGCAGAGGGTGCGCACAATACATAAAACAAAAGACTTCAATGGTATATAATAACAAAAATGGTAAAAAAAAATTCTAATTATGGCTGTGTGAAATCAACATTATGAGTATAAACGACATCGCATTCCTTCTATTTGGTGAAATGTTTGGTGTTTTTAGTTCTTGTGATGAAAAATAAATTAAAAGCTCGCTTGTGTATGGATATACATACACACACATAAATAAGCACGTTGAGAATACCCAAGTAGAGCTGAAATTATTTGATAATTGCTAATTTAACAGCAAATTTATTTGTAGTTACTTTTGTTGAATATTGATACATACAAACATACATAGTAAAGTGTTTGCTCTTGAAAAAGTGAGAAAAATATGTCACTATAGACGCTGCTATAAAAAATGTTATTAATAATCCAATAAATGGAACTTATATAATGTATTGTATTTGTGTACTTCTACATTCAGCAACGTGCCTTGTGAATACCGTTCCCTTTGAGATACTCGTGTTCAGCAAATCTTGAACTAGTAGGTGACTTTTTAACAGTTCGGAACACAATGCCAAAAAATACTAATATCCCATATATTATTCTTGTGCAACATGTTGCTATATGTTGTCAATATTTTCATTTATAGAATGGCAAGAAATAGATATTAAGAAATCTAGAATTGTGATCTGATTAAATTTTTACCCGGACTGGAAAAAACTACACGTTCACATATTTTAATACAGATCTTTATTATCGCCTTTAAAATTTGCTTTTAAGCCAATAGAAGCATGCCAACGCTTAATCCACTCTTCCATACATTTGTTACAAGACTCGGCTGGGATGGCCTTCAGTGACTTCGGTTCATTTATGGAGCGCCATTCGCTAGATTATTAGACAGTTTCGATGTCATATTTATAAACCCACGTCTCGTCACCAGTAATAATGCGTTTAATGAGTATAGGTTCCTCAGCTACGTTGTCAAGCACACTTATTATTTGCGACTTCTACTCGACGTCATATTTGTAAAAGTCTCAGATCTTTTGATGCCAGTCTAGCATTGAACTAAAATGTGCTGAGTTGATCCATAAGAGATGCTGAGATTCTCTACTATCTCACTGATACCAACACTACGATGCTTCCATTGTAACACACAAAATTTCAAGCAAACTCGTTGTTCACACTTTTCCATGGTAAAACGCTGTGGACAAACTTTTCGCGTCGTTAACAACCAGCTGTCAAATACACTAATTGACATATGGAAATTAAACTTCACACGAACATAAAAAGATTGTACCAATCTAGGAAAAAATTCAATTTGGTATGCGCGCGTAGTTTAAGTAGACCAGTCCGGGTTAAATTTGATCAGATAATATATTATCGGAAGTTAATAATGAAAGTTAAATGTTCGCACAAAATATTAAAATCTTCAAAGTTTCCAAAAAGTAAGTAAAATGATTAATTTAAGACATTTAAGATAAGATTTCTTATTCAGAAACTGCCAATTCACTCTCAACCCAACGCTGTGGGGTTAAATATTAATTTAAATTTTTTTTAAACTACTTTTTAAATATTGGTCTTCGACAAATTCTTAATATTAGATCTTGATTTCTGATGTCCAGCAAAATTTGTTTGCTACACTGAAATCCGTTTGCCTTTGACGCCAATATTAACTACGAATACTTTTAAATGTTAAGAAACGAATATAAACGCTAAAAGCATACAAAACTAGTACAATGAATCGAAATAATATTTGTACGAGTACGAGTGTAATAATTTATTGTATCATACAGTTCGTCGCTTAGTTAGTGATAAATTAGGAACTGAGTTAAGAAATAATCTACTACAAAAACCCGGCAAAACGGGTATCTGGTACCTAAGAATCATGCTGTAAAAGTTGGCACTATGTATTTACGATTTTTATACCACATGTATAGATAAATTTATAAGAATGTACAATATATTTCAGCAATAGTTAAAAAATAAATGTGAAATAAAAACGTTTGCGGCTGGGAAAAAGCGAACTAATTACGAGACAAGAACCCACAAATTAATATACCATATGAAAGCATTTAAATACTGAAGATAAAACAAATTTTCAGTATTTGTCATTTTAATATAATAGCTATGTATGAATTATGTGAATTATATTGTATTATTTATTAAACATTTAGCTGACTTTTGGTAAAAGCAGTTCAATTGAATACACAAACTACAAACATTAGGGTGTTGTAATTACTTTTCGTACAGTTTATGTTGATTTGGAGCCAACAAGCAGTGATTACGTTAGTGAGATACATAACAAATTGTTATATTTCGCATTTGTTTTCATATTTAATTTTTTGCTGTTTCTTATTACTGTGTATAGCTACATACATATGAAATTTTAATAATTTGCTTCATTTGCTCTACGAACAAATACGAGTTGAAGGAAATACAAACTCACGAATACATAATTACCACGATTTAGATATGTGCTTTTCATGCATTTTCTCACAGAATTCATATGTATGTATGTGTGAGTATATGAATAATAGAGGATGGTGCGACAAATATTTTGGTGGGTTGGTATGTGGTGACAACGTACGAGTTATAAGCAGTAGTTTCACAGACAACCTTACAGTCAGCAGTTTCTGTTGTGGTGAAGTTGTTGGGAGTTCGGGTTGAATCCGTTAGGGTAGAACAGGCGAATTGGTATTGTCATAGAGGGAATGAGATCTCATTGAAACGAAATCTCATTATCACCTTGGCTGTAGGTATATATGTATATGTCCTACTACATATATGTATATATGTATAGATAAATTATGTGTTTAGTATTATTTATACAAAAAATTTAACTAAAAAATCAAAAAATGAATAATACATTTTTTATATTTTTTTTTACATTTTCCAATTTAAAATATAGAATCGAATGAAGTATTTAATACAATTGTAGAAAACTACATGTGATATTAAGTATGAGACGATTATTAGCGCCCTGATAAACAAGTGCATAAATTGCACAGATTGATCAGTTTTTATGGGTTCACTTTGATTCGTATTTTGCGTTTGAAATAGGGCGTACCTTTAAGTGGTTACTTAAGTAATTCGATTTTCCGGATATAAAAATATGCTTATGTTAATAGAGCAACTATTTGCCAATGTATCTATTAATATGGATAGATATGTATGTAGACGCAAATAATGTTTTTTTTGTCTTCCTAAAATAGTACTACATGAAAGCGTAGCTCAGAACACACATAGTATAGTCCTATGTATATTCATTAATGTTTGTATGTGTGAGTAATGATTGTAGAAGTGCCAATTTAAAGTAAATAAAATATGAACGGAGGCTGAACTTAGGGATATATAAAACAGAGGTGAATAATAATTAAGGTAATCATTACAACGCACAGAAATATTTATCGCATTTTTTTAATTATAAATGATTTTATTAATTACAAAATTCACCCTTTAACCCAAAGCAATTATTGCGGAGGTACATATGTATACAGGATTATCTGATTTGTATCCACATGTACAAAATTCTGGTAATTTGGTTATACTTGTATATCATATGGGAAGGAGTTAGGAGTGGACGTGGAGGTGAAGTTGGAGATAGTGGTGGAATTACAATAAGTGGATGTGGCAGTGAAGGTGCTACTTTCGGGCGGGTTTGGGTTGGCAGTTGGCGTTGATGCGCGGTAAGGTTAAAGCATTTGAGATGGAATTGTAATGGGCTGCGGGATTTTTTGGGTTAAGGATATATTTATTTTTTCATTTATATATACTTTATTTCTTAATTCGTAAAAATACTTATATATGTATTGTGTGTATTTGTTGATAACGTAAACAGGACAAACTTACCCAAGTGTATTCCAGTTGTCAATATTGCCATCCTTGTTATTATTATACCATTGTCCACCATGCCCGGTCGAGGAACTAGTACTGCTGCTGCTAGCGGCGTTGCCGTTGCCGTTGCCATTTCCGCTTCGTGGTTGACCGTGCGCATGTGTGTGTGCATGTGCTTGTATCTGCTGCTGCTGTTGCAATAAGTGATGTGATTGATTGTGCGGGGAGAAGAGCAGCCGGCAGCGATGATTGCGTGATGGTGCATTCCGCGAGAAAGGTCGTCGCGTTGCACCCGTGTGATTGGGATTCAGCATGACTGCAACTAACCGCTACTTTATGAAAATCGTTTTAGCGGTGGCAAATATCTTTATTTGATTGATATAACACTAGGGCGATGGCCTGCGTGTGAGTAAGGTAGATTAATGCGACTTGTTTATATGCATATATATAAATATATGTATATATAACTGTTTATCGGTTTGATGATAGCCACTAACTGAAAATAGTACAGAGAATAAAATGCGCCGTTCTTAATAGATTTCAACCTATCGTTATAACTGTGTTCAAATTTAGTGAATATGTACATACATATATAGGTATGTATATAGTAATTTATCAAAATAAGATTAAACTGTAATTGTAAAAAATCGTAAGAAATTTGTTAATTTTTGAATGTCATGCTCAGGGTTGCGAATTTTTTAATTCAAAAGTTTTGGATTAAAATTTGAATTTTCAAATTGGGATTAAATTTTAAAAAAAATTAATCGAAAAGTTTGAGACGTTTTGGGTTAAAAATTTTATTTTTTAATTTGAATGAAGTACGCAATGGCGAAAAAATGTTCTTTTTTTAATTCTTAATTATTGTATATGCTTGTGATTAAATTTTTTCTCTTTAATTTTTCAATCCGGTAGCAGGGATTAAAATTAAAATTTTATTTTTAAATTCCTATTTATGATTACAAAATAAAAAAGTTTTAATTTAAATGTTTATTCAATTATTTTTTTAATGCATTATTTGCAACCCTGCTCATGCTACACCACGTTCTAGTTTCCTTTTCATTCGATTGGACGGAGAGGCAATCGCACCTAACCTCAAGCTACTCTAATAATTGCCACATAGAGCAGCGAACTATTGAAAATTTTAAGAAGATTTAATTAAGTACTCTAGCGGAAAAATTAATGTCATAAAAAGCTGTTCAAATTTAAATTTAAATTTGGTGTTAGTGTTCCCTAAATACATTTTTTTGACGGCCCCAAAGTCGAGATCAGTGGAAAATTGTCAATCATGTCGCCTTTTACGTTAAAGATTACCATACACATGTATATACATACGTACATATAAGTATATATGTACAAAATAAGAAACGTGGAACATCATATTTATTTCTAATGCATTTTCTTCGTAAAATTATCAAAGCAAAGACATGCAAATTTTGGGAACTTTTTGTACTAATGCATTCTACCATATATTCTATCACCAAATTAGTTAGCCTTTGAAAAAGTACAATGGGCTTTATTAATATACATACATACTTATATACATATGTAAGAAAATATAATGCGAGTAAGTAATATAACAATCAATGAGTTAAATGTCTTACCGATATTCCAAAACTATACAAAAAAGGCAGTTGGAGGAGGAAACGCGTTAACGCTATTTGAAAAAGCATTTTACATACGTACTTACATATCTATTTAACAAAAATGTATTAAGTAGGTGCGATTTTAGCGAAAAGGGCAAGCCGAATGGCGGCTAAAGTGAGTACAGGGATGAGAGGAGAAAGTGGGTTGTGTAAATAAGAGTGCTATAAAATGAACAAAACAGATAAGTATGTAAAACCCACAAATGCATAAATTACATAGTATATGAGTCAAAAAACTAAAAGCCATGACGGTAATGAATAACAAATACAGTATTTCACGTTTATGCTTTTTAAGTGGTTAAATGCATTTATTGTGCGCTTCTCATTTATTAGCACCATTTCGATTGCGATTTGGTTTGCATAGAAAAATATATATAATTACAATTTTTATTATAACGCAGGTACAAATATAAGAGAATAATATACAGTAAATGAATGCAAAATTAATACACTTGTATTTATGTTATTAAAGTTTTGGTTGTAGTTGCACAATTTCATTTCTTTATCATTCTTAATTAGTCATTAAATGCTTAGCTAAAATAAATATGTAATTACAATACATCACAAATATGCAGTTCACAGAATGAATTAAATAATTTTTCTTTGGTATTTCGAATTAAAAGCTATTTTAAAAGGAACATCTACAATCATACAAATCTACATACATATAATATCATTTATTAAGCATTGTGTTATATATTGTAGCCGCAAATAATCGTATAACCTGTGAATATATGTATACATGTCAACATTTTCCTCATTTATTTATTTATTTCTTGTTTTTCTGAACATGCCTTCAGATTGGTATTGACACCAATTCTACAATTACGAAAATGTTTGCTTTTACTTGTATGTATGTATATATTTGTATTAATATATTTTTAACATTTTAAGTATAACTACACGACAGGCTTGCTGATAAGTAAGATTAATGAGTAAATGGTTGTTAAAGTGTCGAGTTCGTGAGATTTTATTACCGAAAAATGGAAAAGCAACACATTTATAAGAACACTATGTGTAAAAGTATGTATATATTTATTAAATAATTAGTGGAAATTTAAAGAAGAAGAACTTATAACTGTAAAGTAGGTGCTAAAAATTGGGAGAAGAGGTGTATATACATACATAGATATTTGTACATACAGATATATATGTATATATGTATATCGGTGATTGGTGGGTTAAGGCTGATGAAGTTACACGAATTTGAACTTCAGGTTTGGGTGCATGGTAGTAAATGAAATTAAAGGCTACATTTAATTTAAGCAACTAATGTTCTGAAACTGAAATTTTTTCCTTATACATATGTACACATGTACATACTTATGTAGAAACCGGTATAGTTATGTATGTGCATCTATTTACAATATATACAAATGATTGCTTATGTACATAATAAATTATATCTCATACGAACTAATAATGTTAAATAGGGGGAGTAAAATAAAGTTTATATAAATGGAAATTCCATATGTAAATAATATTCAAGCATACCTCAAGCTCTCTTTAGTCTTTAAAATTTGTTTATGAATTGAAAAATTTCTTTAAAATATATACATACATACATCGGCATCAAAATGAAGTTAAAGTGACATATTTTGATTTTACTTGTCGCTTAGCCTTTACGCCTTGTCGGAACAGATATGTACAGACATACATACATATATATGTATATTATTATGTACATAAAGACATTTATTCAAAAGTCAACTTAATGCGTGAATACTATTTTCGAAATACATATACATACATACATACGTATATATCATAGTAATATCTAATATTTATTGAACGAATTGACTACCGAGAGAAAAGACAATTTTGCAGTTGTTGTACAAATGAGTTACTAATTAATTGTTATGAATGTACAAAATACAAGTATTAATAGCATATAAAACGATACACAATTGTGGTAGTTAATAGTAAGAATGCAAATATGTATAGGTGTGGCGAATAATTGTGTTTATGTGGTAATATTCGATACCAAATAAAGATAAGATTTATGTATATTGTATTAAGTAAATGGTAGTAGTGAATAGTTATTTAATTTTAATTTTATTTTCTAACGTATTATGTATATATATTAGATATTTTGGTAAAATTTTGTTACGCCAACTGATTTGCGTTCGCTCGCATGATTCCCAGCGCCAAAATGCATAGCAAACAGCACTCACTCACATGAGCCTGTGGGTTTAGTAGTATTGTAGTTGCAACTCTGTGTAAATTCCCAAACAAAAAGGTTGTAGACATGAACTAGATACAGATTATATTCTTGCATTGGCGTTATTCTTGTAACAAATGTTTATCAACCAAAAACAAACCACCAACCAACCAAAATATGCAATAAAACAATCTAAAATTAGAAAGAGAAAAAAAACAAAAGTATAAAAGTATTAAGAAAGAGAAGAGGAACAAATGTGGCTTACTATGCTATATATTGTATGTATACTCTATATATAAATAATATTAATAATAGTTAATGGATTAAATTACTTTCAAACACATAATCATTGGACTATTCATTTGACTACACATTCATTACAAGACATTACATTATGATATTAGCATGTGTGTGCATACTCGTACACATTTATGTGGAGATGGATAGGTGCAATTATATGTATGTATACATATGTATGTCTTATGGGAAGCTCGTTTATCGAGTGCTGACCATCACAAGATAAATCTCCTTCAATAAGCCTACATATTCCAAATATGTAAGCATGCATTTATGCAAACACTTATGAGACATGCCCCCCGGCTATGAAGCATCAAACTAGTCAGGTGTATAATATACAACTAGAATCAGAAAAGATCTCACTTATACCAATTATAAAATGCTGTATTAATGGGTTATTTTATTTAACTTCAACGAATGATATGCTACAAATAACTAACTAAGAAATAATAACATTTTTTCATAATGATATATAGTAGATTTTTTGATGCTTACATACAATTATTAGTAAATCTGAAGAAGCGATGTTTTTACTTTTTAATTTTCTATTGCTTACAATTTAAATACAAACTAGTAGTTTTGGTCTATAATTGGACCAGATTTTTATTGTACATTTTGAACTAATAAGATACTGGTATGTTTTGGACCGTAAGCTAACAAATGCTGGTTGTAAATATATACTTTCTAATCAACTAATTTGACTTCGGGGTGTCCAAAGTTTATATATAAAATTTAGAACCCAATAGCTTAAGCGAGTACTACCGTGATACGTTATAACATATACACGCTGCTCTACTAAATATATGTATATGTATGGTATGTATATGGAGCTCCCACGACGTAACTACTAATTGGCATGTTAACGTAAATTGGTCCTAAGGCACACAAACATAAAAAGTGATTATTAACAAAACAGCTAACATAATAGCAGCAGAAAACAAAAATATTAAGTAAACCAATACAATAAGATACGACAAACAGCTAAACCGATTAATAGTTAGAATAAAATAAAAACGAGTAGCGAATAAAAAGTGTCGCCGGATTTACAGCCCAGTACGAGTAAAAGTTGCAAGTTACAAACAGCAGTGCAATGATTCTTAAAGCAATACATAAACAGTAAATATCTACAATACAAGTACATAGGTATATATCTATGTACCGAAAGCATGGATAAACAAATATATTAGTGTGATTGCCTTCATTAACCATGAAATACTTGTAGAGTTACTAAAAACCGAAAAGAAACCCATATTGAACTATAAAAAAAAATTTCATTCATGAACTCATCTTCTTTTCCTGATGAATTGAAGGAAAGTATATTAATAGTCTGATAGTCTAACAATCCAATCTATCCACAGACTAGTAACACGTGGATGAGTTTGAAAGGTGAAGATATTTAATATCATGTTGGCATCCAAGGTTGGCTTTATTTTATTTTTCACAACGTATTGTGATACTAAGGCTAGAGAAAATCACGTGCTTGTTGAAGTATGCATAAATTCATAAGTAAGTATACCTACAGTTGGATGTTGGGTGCACAGATTACGAAAGGCCGAAAAGACGTAGAGTTAAACTAAAAGTGAAATTTGCATTATTATTCATTTCACATACTACCGGAGCACAAAAGCTAGTTAGTGATTCTCTTCCATAGCTTGAACACTATTTATTTCGCTACTCTCGGTTAGCTTTTGGACCGCTGGTATAGAAAATGCTTTAAAAATCGCATATCTGTGGTAAAATTATTAACTAATCGTCGCATATTTGCACATTTATATTTTGTGAAATTTAATATAATAGTATGCAACATTCTTTCTCTTTACTCCTTTTTACATGGGAAATTCGAGCATGGAAAGGCGAAGCCCAAAAATCGTTTGCACTTGAATTCGAGGCATGTTTCGCTTTTTTGAGTTTATATTCATGAATACTAACTTGCGACCGGCCGAAACCCAGTTTAATCTCCAACCTTTTTTCATTTTCATGTGATGTCTATTTGCATTGTGTTGTTTGCCATTAGTTTCTGGTTTGTGTTATTTTTATTGCTTAATGTGCTTATGTGTTACGTGCATATGTAAGTATTTGTACAAAGAGATTCGAATATTTTTTTTAGTATTGTGGCAGTTAGCTCCGTATGTTATATTCATTGTTTCTCTGAGATTTTAAAACATTTTCATTAGAATAACTTTGTGATTTGGTGGAATGTAACAGACCGTTGTTTTAGTATATATTAGGTAGGTAGGTAGAGTGGCTGTATATAGTTACGGTCGTGAGATTTTTTCGCCTTGTATATACATTATTTTAATGTTATGTGTGTGTAAATATGTGCGTAATTCCTGTTGTTAATGATGTCATAAATTTTTTTTCAAACTTCATAAATATTTAATTTATTTCCTTTACTTTTCTAAAGCTAATGTATTGTTTTCTCACACTAATCATCTTGTTTGCATTGAAGTTATTTTCAATGTTATTTTAACGGTACCGTTGCTATTCACAGTAACTGTTTAACCAGTTCCCCACTTAATTTATCGAAATATGTAACATATGTACACATATATGTTTATGAATTTATGTTTTTGACTCAATTAATAATTCCATATAGCATAAACTTGAAATAAATATCAATTACAAATTTTTTCAAAAGTCAGACAGACAGTTTTTGCTTAAAATAAAATATCATTAACTCAATAAAAAAATTTCAACCTGATAAAAGCTGCGATCTCGATTAATCGTTACAAAAGGTCGCACCATCGAAACAATAACTAAATGATCTTAATGCTGCCCTATACTCCGGAGGTGGTTCCTTATAAAAAATCTCTAGAACCAATAGTTTTTAGAATTTTTTTTAATATGAAGCTATGCTTTTAAACATACATACCTATGTGATATATACATGATACGTTAATATATAATACAAGTATGTATGTATAATATTCTATTAAAATTAAGAGCAGATATCATTTAAAGGAAGCAATCACACGATTCGCAAAAAATGTACGTCATAAAGTAAATAAAGCTAAACCATCGTACTAGTCTACATACCGATACGCCGTTCCAAAAATAAATCGATTTCAGCTCCTCTCACGTGGCATAATTTACGTTGTTTTTACCTGAAATAAAAAAGGGGTCAGTCGCTTTGGAGGACATATGCATATTAGGTATCATTGCATAGAAATTTTCTGTGGAAAATAAATTATAAATTTATGTTTTTGACTTGATCTTGACCTTGACCGCATAAATCGATAAACAAGTTAAATTATTAACATAAATTATATTAATTTACAATATTATTTGCTGTCATTTAATATCAAAAATTTATATAATCTCTCCATCGCTCTCATAAACTGAATATATTAATTTCTGCGACCCCATGTTGGATTGAAGTGAATATACCTTACCTTCAAAAGGGATCTAAATTTCACAACTGTCAGACAATTTGTTCGTGAGATATAGCATTTTGAATGAAAACATTATAAAAATCTCTAAAATGATCTTGAACGAACGTGAAATGAAGTATATTGAGATAGCTGATACTAAAAAGTTATTAAAGAACGTGTTGGACACACCATACACATAGTTAATGAATATTTGGTTAGGCGAAGAGCTGTAAGATAAGTTATGGGAACATGTTAAACACCTGAGTATAAATTGTTTAAAATAAATGTGATAATGCAAAAAAACGGTAACTAATATTTCATGTAAAAGAGAACAGGATCCTTTGCAATTCTTGGCAAATGTGGTATGATCGCCAAAATGGATGAGAATATCAATCGATTTAAGCCATAATCAAACGCCGTATATTCATACATATAATACAATATTTGCATTTTTTGTGCGGGTTGTTGAAGTATTAATGCAAAATCTAAATAAAGAGCAACTGAAATTACAGTAAAAGCGCATTCACATACAACTTTCCTCGCTTTACGTGATAGTTCATACTGAAACAACAAAGCGAAGAAAACACAATGAACGCTTTCAGTGTTTCTTTATACTAAAAATGGCGACTGTTACTTTGTAAAGCGTAATAAAATGAGAGCTGCCCAACATTTTGCTCGGCTTCGCGCCCCAAACTTTTTATGTAAATGTACTGATACAAAAACGTACATCGAACATTTCTGTCAAAACAAATGTCTGCCGCAAAGTGAAGCAAAAGTTCTATGTGAATTAGCCGTAAGGGTAGCCATTTCTTATGACATGGACTTACGCATGCACGCAAAGAATACCAATCGTCTGTACGATAAAAGATAGGCAGTTTTTAAACTTATATTAAGTAACGATTTTATAATGAGTTTTTTGCTTTGAAATTTGAAAATCTGAAAATAAATACGTAGAATAAACGTATATTAATAGTTGGTTGATGGTCGGCTTTCAATAAGGCTCAGAAGCGGTTAGCGCAAACGAGTAAATTCAAGTGGAAGATATTATGATTACAAAGGTAACTGAAAACACGAAAACTCACAGAGAGCGTTGATAGGTGAATGTGAATGAATGATGCACAAACTTACATACATATGTATGTACAAATGTACATGTAGCGAGTACTCACTTATACTCACATACTTCCTACATATGGTTACTCATAAGTATGTATGCACATATATTTTTGTATGTATTATTGATATACAAGCATATAGTCGAGTTGTTGCAATAATTTTAAGATACAAGTAATTATTAAGGTAAAGTTATGTGCGTATATGCCATGAGTGCTAAATTTGCATTTGCTCAAAAGGGATAAGTTATTGAAACTTTAAGAGATTTTACATAATAAATAAAGAAACACACTAAAGTATGTGAAAATTCTGGTTTCGTATTGAATATATGTATGTACAAGTATGTATGTAGACAACAATTAGTGCGAATCCGTGTATTAAATTGTCAAATACTACAATTTTAGTTCAATTCTTTTTTTTATGCATTATTTGCAACCCTGTATACAATACATAAAAATAATAAAATTTGAATTCCCAACTTATTGTAAACATTAATTTCATAAATATTAAAAAATATTGGAAAAAAATGTCAAAATGAAAAAATTTCGAAGTAGCAAACTGAAACGAATAAGAAGAAAACGTTTTTTTGTCTGAGCACAAGCAACTTGATTTCATTTCCTTCCCAATAAGTTAATAAATTTCTAATCGCCATAACAATAGTTGTCGTGTCTGAACGCAGTCGTACATATGTATATGTGCATACAAACAGATCAATGTAACTTTACAGCAGTTTTGCTTGCAACATCATGAGAATAAAGTCCGAATCGCTCTACCGGCGACATACTCGTACACAGCAAATGCACATAACAAAAGAAAATTGTATGTACTCGTACAAATCCATCCATCTATACTTTTCTTCTATGGACATGCATGGTATTCATGGTGTACTCAGCTTATGTGATATGCTGCCCGCTCTGCCTGGCTGTAGGCCTGCCTTATCACTTGCAGCACACTAAAATGCCTGCTCTATTTACTGCCTAACAAAGAAATACAAAAACGATATACTTATGTATGTACATATGTACATACGAGTATATATGGTATACATATAATCATGCATTCATCCATGAAAAGAGTATTTATTATCTCTTCTACAATATGGAACGGCGTTGATTTTGGATCTGTTGGGTATACATTTCAGTTTTTGAACTGGATTTCGTCACAAATAGTATGTGCGTCGACTCGATGCTGGCAAGACGAGGAAACAGATTTGATTTTGATTCCAACTTGAAGTTCAAAGTTTACAAATCTGTAGAGTACATATTTTCTTATATGATGTAATTTACAATTATATACCAATTGATCAATAATAAACTGATTCTAGAATATATTATAAACTAAATTCCCTTCCCTTTTTCGAATTCCATTGAAATTTATATTTAATTTCACAATAAACCTTAATAAAAATGCTTTGCTAACGCATGTCGGTCTTCTATTTCTGTAGTTTTCTCTAAAAAATAATTTGTTTGCTTTGTCTGTGTCACTTATTTTCATAATTTCCAGATAGATTTAACTGTTTGAAAAGCCTTAATTAATTTATATGCGAAATATGTTTTGACACTAACGCCCTCTATCGGAACAATTTTTTTCATCTAAACTTATATTTTTATATTTTATATAATTTTGGAACGATGATTATCAATATCTACATATATTTTGCTTGGATTATTTACCTATGAAATACTCACATACCTATACTCGATTATGTACATAAGTATGTATGTACGTATATAACAAGTGAGTTAAATAGCAGTAAAATGGGGAGTTAGTATAGCTTCGCTGACATATAAAAATAGTATGAGTGTTGTTAAATAAAATGTAAATGAATGAGATTATACATATACGGTACATAGATATGAGCGACACATACGTACATATGTATGTATGAATTTACACACTCACATTACTTGGATTTCGTTTCGGTCTAAAAGTCTGAAAAGTCCACTATCAAAAAGGGTATTACAAATTCGTGAAGCCAGCGTGGTGTCATTTGGTGGTTTTTGTGCTACATACAAATATGTATGGAAAATCCAAAAAATTATTGTACCATGTGGTCAGTTTGTACCATGTTGGAGTACTTATAAAATGTTCCACTTTAATGCAGCAGTGAGCCAGCTCATGACTACACCAATTTATTGTTATCCGACTCATTGTATGCACATATATTTACATATGTATGTATATTTAAAACAGATGCACATATTTGTATGTGCGCTGGTGTATTATGTCAATAAGTCGAGAGTCACAGAAATCAAGCTAATCGCATCTATATCCATACATACATACATACAGATATATACATATGTATATCTACATATGTACAAAAAAATATATCTCAACACTAATATTTACTAATGCATATATGTAGATACATATGTGCATACATAAAAAGGTGTGGAATTATTGTCACATTTTTCGCATAGTAATAACGTAACATTATAAAAGATTAGTATTTGTATCTTTATTAAATGTGTATACTTGTATAATAACAAGCTGATATAACCGAGTACTATATGCTTCATCTTAATAACTATAAAATGGTGTGTGCAATTAAAGCGGCCGGAGTGGACAATTGAATCCACATTAGCGAGGTGATGTTGATGTGAAAAAACAGGACGGAGAGGAAAAACTGTAAGTTATACCTTTCATTGGTATCAGACGTAAGTGTACTCTGATGAATTTTCGTTCTCCTTTGTTGCACTCTTAGCTATTTAAACAACTGTTTTAATTAGTGACAGTATTAGTTCTTTGTGTATAGCATTCATATTATTATTTTTTCAATAACAAGGTCTACTGGAAACGTTTTTATTTCACTATTAATTGTTGTTATTTGGTGTTGGAGGTTGTTGTTTGAATTTTACATCACGATTGATACATACGCTACAGGAAACAGTTTATCGAATTCGTATTAAACACGGATGCAACTTGTTGCACACAATAGTATTCTAGTTTTTAAACAATGTGAGGATGACACAAAATATATTCAAGCATGCATATGTTTTACTTAAACAAGTTTTGTACAAATATAAATATAACTTTTATTACACATTTACAAGAGTCTGACATAGAATTTTGCAGATACCAGTTTGACTTGTAAATTCTTAAATTCTTTTTTTAGGTTCTCAGTCTTAAAGGCTATCTTGATGGGGTTATCATTTAAATGTAATATATTCTGTAATACAATTACGTATGGGTACAAAATAACATTTATGTACATACCTTTCCTTCTAAGATGAGAAAATCATGTTGTCATGATAGCTATAGTGTTTTCGTGTACAATAAACTCTCATAACTTCTTCCGGTTATGAAACTTTACTCTTTTAACAGTGAGTTACGATGTGTAATTTGTCATCTCTTTAATAGTCAATAAGTCAATGATGTTTTAAATACTCTGTTATAAAGTAAAAATTAAAAACAAAATTACTTTATGTTCCAATCTGCGCCATATTTGCAAGTTATAACTTGTTATCTTTTTATAATATAGTATGTACATATACTGAGCGATGAAGTCAAATATCCGCTTCCGGTTTGTTTGCTTTATTTCACACAGGCTTTCTCTCAGTTCGACATTGAAGATGATTGTCGAAAAATATTTCTTCTTGCTTTATGTTTTCACGTTTAGGCGTTTTCTTTTTATGTTTATTCAAATACATTCATTGCAAAATCACATACACCTATATCTTTTTTTTTAATATTTTAGTTTACTTGCTTTTACTTTTCTCACGTTTGATACACACTTGCCAATAACGACATTCACATTTACCTCGATTTCAAAACAAAGCACATGAAATCATCACATACAAATACGTTTCCTGTATTATAAATTTAAAATTAATCTGTTTATTTTACTTTTTCACAAAATAACTCTCGTCGGTCTGGCGACGAGCACAATAACAAACATCTACTCCTAACGATTGACAAAATTACAGTGTTCCGAAGCAAAGCAATTATCATTTTGACGGAATGTTATCTATTGTGAATAGTAGGGCTGCTAAGTTTACTTTTAATTTCGGAGCAGGGATATATAGACTCAAATCGGAAGTGAACAATTATCGGTCACTGTGAGATGTATTAATAAATTTCATTTAGAAAATTAACATTTATTTATTTATTTGCTTTATTTAGTAAAATATTAAATATGGTTGATTTTATTGTTGCTTTGAAGGTCCGTTTGGTCACAAGATTGAATATTTGCTGCAGTATCACCAGTACGGTATTTTAAGAGCACCATATTTAATTAGCTCGCGGGAGAAGAAAGGAAAAGTGAGTGAAAATTGCAGACATGTACGTATGTCAATTAAGTTATATATGTGGTAGCGTATCAACAATAAACAAAATTGAATGAGAGAAAAATGAGTACCCAAGAGTTACGAAATGACAAGTAAAATTTCGCTTTTTTTTCAACCTCTCTCACGCAAAAAAAAATAAAATTTACACAAAGTAGAAACGGACGTGTATACATACAAAAAAGTGTATATACGTATATTATTTAATTAATTTAGCATCGAAGTATTTTTGAAGAATAATACCCAAAATGCTTTTTTAGAGCTTAGTAAGTTCATATTTACTATACTATATTAGTTGAATGTATATTCATGTAAAGATATATGTATTTGTATACGAACACATCCGCACATGCGTTGAAATAGTCAGCACTAATACGATACACTATGTATTCCCATTCTTATAGGTAGACTTTACTGGTTTTGCTTATTTCTTGTACAAATGTGTATATTCCGTAATATGTATAGTACGTACATATTACGTATGTACATATATCACTTATATATGATTCCTCATCATTTTATCGTTGTAACCCTATTTTGAATAGATATTTTCGTACATTTCCCTTTCCATTTACTAAATTTTGTTAAATTTTACTTTTAAAATGTAGGCGTAGTTATTTCGATGTCTATATGTATCTATATAAACTTCCATGTTCACTCACACTTTGAATACATTTTCTTTGAACACATCTATCGACTTTAGGAAGAGTGCTCCTATATTTTCTTATATTTAATAGAAAACACAGCAGTAAATTAAATATTTCCAAATATTTTCCACAAATGTAACCAACTATGAAGAATAAATTGAATTCGATTTTTTCACTACGTGTTATCTTCTAGTTACACCTGCCTTTCAAATACGTCTGCTAAGAAATGAGAATTATCTTGTCGTGGCTAATAAATGGTGAAAATTTTTGTAGTATAACATAGGATAATCATACACACATCTCGATGAAAATGAATGAGAGAATCACTTCGTGAGAGTAGTTCAGTGTTGCATTAAAAAGTACCAAACGAACCGTCAATAACAGCTGACTAAAAGTCAAGCTGCATGCAAATGTGAATGTGTACATTCACCAACATCTGTAATATGTACATGTGTATATACATATAGTATATAAATCCCTGTAAACAACAGTTCACGTTTGCTATCGAATAAACACTAATATTGTGAATTAATAATAAGGTAGTTCCAAAAATATATTTCATTCACATTGCAACATGATTGATATGAAATCGAGCAAAACAATATAAGACTCATTACAACATACTTGTATTAATGTAATAACACATAAATATGTAGGTATATATTTCATATTTCCTTCTGCACAATTTCAATGTTAAAAAAAATTAAACTACAATTTCTATTCTATATTTTGCCCCCCCAACAACCCAGTAATTAATAAATTATAATGAATAATTAAATACATATATATATATTTTACTTTGTAAAAAAAAACCTATCATCATTATCAATATTCAGTTGTCAACTGCTTTTCCACTTGTTTTATTAAATATTTGAATTTTTTGCAAACACATATTAACATATTTATATAGGTCTGGATACGTACCAAAAAAACCGTAGCGATCCCGTATATCCTGCATAATACTGCTCGTTTTACAGGATACCATTATTTTCGAAGAATTCCAAGAAAACTTCCAATCTCTCACGAAATTTGGATTTTCGAAGATTTTTCGTCGATTAGCTATCGCCTCATCAGTATTCAAATGAAATTTATAGAGTATTCTACATGGTCATCCATTAGTATTGGTAACAAGCACGTTGCAGACGTTAGACCTTTTACACATAAAAATATCGATACTAGTGTATTGCCAATTATTTGTTCGTACCATAGAAACCTTTGCTGAGAATAGCCTTTCTTACATCGTCGATAATGGGTATTCGCTCATCCTGTCCCAATTTGCACAATAACTCAGACAACACTGAGTGTTAGATGTTCAACAGCTCTTAAAAGCGATTTTGCAACACTTATATTTGCCATAACGTACAGATGAAAAAATCCCAGTCGATGCCAGGAGAACCGTAGAATCCTTCTTTATAGTACACCTGTGTTGTATCATATGTACGCGTTAATTAAAACTAATCTCTTGAATATTAATAAATAATACTTACAAATAATAAACAAGAATAAACAAATTTCCGCTAAAATCCTTTCGGAACATCATATAATTCACCCAAACATCACTTTGGTTTAACACATGATAACGGTCCGTTTGACTGCGACTAAACACATTTATCATCTTTGGAATGATTTTTTCACCGAAAGCTTGCAATTTTAGTACGTAGCGTTGAAGTTTATGATTGGTTGGGCAATATTCGATGGAGTTTTTAATGGTATTTGTTAAACGTCATAAAGAGACGAAGAATACTCAGACACATTGCTGGGCAAATGATAGCGGAATATGTCTGGGTTCTGCAAAATTTATATATACAGTATGTAAGAACGTATGACGTGTATGGGAATAAATGTTCTTTGTATACATAATCAACCCTTTCTATAGAGAACGCTAGTGACTACGTGTAATTTAGCCAGCTTTAGCAGTATCAAACGACAACATTTATATTCCAATCTAATTTTGACATTTTCTATGCAAAAGCCTTGAAGTTTAAGGTTTTCCTAGATGGTAACATAAAGTTTGGCGAAAATTATAATGTTATTCATCCCATGAATATATGAATAATAGAATTGACTAAATCCACTTTTTATATTGTAGTATGGTAACAAATTGGTTTTGTAATTCTGTAATTGTGACAGATTTAAATACCCAATAAACTTACCTAAAATATTTCTTTTATCTTTTTCTATTATATATTTGGTATTGGATACGTACTAACCTGGGTCCAAAACTTGTTTCGTTCTTGACGCTTCGAAGTAACTCTTCTGCTAAATCCATTATTACATTATATACTCAAGTTCCACGAACGAAAACGTCTTTTATTTGTGAGAAAAATTCGTATTCTAAACGTGGTTTTACAATAAATTCAACTTCCTTTACGACTGCCAATTCCGGTTTCGTTGTATACAAAGCCGTTACAAGATATAAACAACATACATAGTTTTCACCTTTCTAAGTCGCAGGTAATTTTAAAAATTATTTTATATAACTTTACCTATTTAGTTATGTGTATTTCTTTACACAGTTCTTTAAATTTGGAATTGACTCTTTTCCTAAACTTGAAAAATTTAAGTAGCAAAATGAGTTATTAAGAAGTCCTTGCTTGGAACGTTTACCGTTACATTGAAGTATAAAGATAACCAACCTAACTTGTTAGTGTATATAACACATGCATTTTTAAAGATATTTATTTAAATTTTTCTTTTCCGTAATGTAAATATTGCTAATTGAACTCATTAATATCACTGTACCGACCTAATCAAAGGTATAAGATATACTCGGGCAGTGGTCCCAAAAATAGTTTAACACCTTTCATGGTTACTTATTCGTAAATAACATTTTTGTATAGTGAATATTTTTGTCCCTGTTATCTTAAAAAAAAACTAAATAAGGCTAATTTTATTACTTTACTTATTTACTATTATTACAAACGCCACAGTTTGTACTGAAAAAATACTAAATGTTTTCATATAAATCCATATTTTAACTAACATTTTGTGAATTGTTTACGTTTTTCTAGCGGATAGTTTCTGCAGTTCCTCCAAACAAATGCAGTTTACAGTAACTATCTTTGATTCGCTAAGCGTTGGAGGGTAGCCAATCGAACAAACTATACGAGTTCAAACAAACATCCAGCGCTAGTGATGCAACTATGCGCTAACATGTCATCTGACACATGCATAATTCTTTCTTAGTAGAGAAACTCTTTTTTCCGTGTCAAAAAGTGTTTTTCTAAACTAATATAATTTATTTAAAGTCTTAAGTTTTCAAAGTCAAAGAAAAAACGAGAAATTTGTATTTTCATTTGTTCTATGAGCCATTCACATTAGTAAAACTGAAGTAAAATATGCAAAACAAACACTTTAATGGGGTATTCCCGTACTCTCTTGTACGAAATCAACTCGATAACTTTGTTGTTGCTTTTACATGTAATATTTTTTTTTTTGAAAAGGGAGCAGCGCGCAAATATAATTTAAAAAATATAAATTGTAAAAAATACGCTAATATAATAGGATTCTTAATGTAAGGTAATAATGAAATAAAATTAAACGAAAGCTAAAAAAACACGTGAACATTTTATTTATTGGGTGTCTTCGTTGGGCCAGAGCTCTGATCTTTCGCCCCAAGTCTACAACTGAGAGATCCAATAATTCTTGGGCCTTATGTAAACCGAACGTTACAAAAAAATGCTTTCAAGTTGCAATACACTTACTTTTCTACTACCACATTCTCACTTTTCTGTTAAAGATTCTATGAGTTTCTCAGCATCTCGGCACTTAAATATTGCTAAAAATCTAAATTGCTAGCAATATTGTCAATGGAGACTGCACATTGATAATGTTTAGCAATTGATGTCTAAATATATTTCATGCCATAAATTGCTAGCAATGAACTGTCATTTTGTTGGTTTGACAAAGCTGTTTTCATTTGCACACAAATTTTAGCTTCGGCTGCCAGCAAAGATAAAATGCCAATGTTTAATGTTTCGTTGCGCAACTACAAAGTAATATTCGCTACATAAATTTTAACAAAACATGGAAAATAGTAATTAAATATATAAAAGAAAGCCAAAGACAATGGCAAGGATCCTTGACAATGACCGACACAACTGCACGACAGCGGCAAACGTTCTTATGGGCACAAACAGTCACCGACATTCCTCCCTTCCGTACTTACCGCCCGTATCAAATCAAATTTGTCAAAAGTTATGCCCGTAGTTAGTTATAGTTTTTTATTTATAAATTTTCATAATGTAAAAACTCAAAACTAAAATCCAACTATTAGAAATAGTTTACCTATTTATAAATAAATGTATTCGACTGTGATTTTGAGTTATTTTAAGAATATTTCAAATATTTTCAAGTTCATTTTTTAATTACTACAAAATATCGAGATTGGCAACCCTGCGTTGCAAGAGAATGCTCTCTAACTCTCAGCTCACTTGTTTCTACGGAAAAAAATGAAATTGGATATCTTACCGTACGGTCTGTTGAAGCGGTGGTGACTAATCATTTACATTGCGCTCTCATAAGATAGGTCGTATCAGCTGATTCAGGACACGGTTTTGCGTCGGTGACTGCTTGTGCCATTAGGCAATGCTTGCAGTTGTCGTTGTCGCCAAACCACCTATTTCTAGTTTGTAAAAGCCATTAATAATTGGAAACAAAGAACTCGACCTATTTGCATATTTTGTACACAAAAAAATTCACTTTGAATAAAATATTTAAATTTCATTGAAGTGAAAGGTTTTAGTACGGCAACAATGAAATTGTGTACATCAGCTGTTTGAAACGTCTCTGTCGTCTACAAAATAATCAAGAAGCTGGCTTCAAGACGCCATTCGCCGACAAGAAAATTTCATTGTCATGCAAAAGCATTTAATTCTTCACTTTTCGAACTTCAACGCCTTCTTGATCAAGAATGGTAGAATACAAGATTACCCAATAGTTTACCGTTACTTTTTTTTCGGTTTAGGCTATGACAATTGTTACAAATACAAATTGCACTATGCTTTCAGGTTGTGACGTAATTATTTTGAGTTGAGAAGAAGAATGATAGAAAAGCATGTAAATTGTAAACAAAGACGTACACTTTTGTAAATTCGTGAAATAAACTTCATTTCATTGATAAAAAAATTATAGTGAAATAAGTAGAATGTTGGCTTATTTAAATAAATAACACGTATTAGTTTATCGCGGAGAATTCCTTTTTGTCGTGCTTCTAAAAAAAATGACCCTGGTCGGTCCAACGCCAGGTTGTTCTCAATTCCTTCACGTATCCAACACCGGGATTTACTAAAAAAAATGAAAATTCTGAAAGTTTACGTTACTCATCACACGGTTATGAATTTTGTATTAACGGTATAATCCGGATATAAAAGTAAAAAATTTAGTTGTAAAATTCGTTATAAATTAAATAAACATGCACTTTTTGAATTTTAATTGCAAATATCTCGAAACCCATATGGCAGCCGCAAATAAATGTA